GTCATTCACTATCTCAACAAAAATAAATACCTCTCTGTTTTTGATAACAAACATGTACTACATTAAAACGTAGACATCAGGATTTAACACACGCACACACGCACACATACATGGCACACCGTGGCTATTCTCCTGTGAAAGTGGTTTGGGTTTGGGGGCACAAACAGCTTAGCCATGCTGTGGCAATGACTTGTTAACAGATGCCAGGCTCTGACTGAGCCACAACATCCTGCAGGCAACACTTAGAATAGAATGAATCCATCTTTTCCCGCTCCCTCTTTCTCTTCCTCACCTCCCTTTCATGTTCTCTTCCCCTTTTGATGCTTTGTCACTTTATCCCCCCCCAACACTCTTTCTTGAGTGTTGCCACGCTCTTTGCGGTACACACATTTCCCATACTGTTGAAGCTCACACAGCTCCGAGAGGGGGCAGGTGAGACCAGATCAAAGAATGACCATTGATGTTAAATCATGAGAGGAGGCCTCTTTGCTCTAGCTGGTAATCCCTTTTGTCATATTGTACACCAGAAGCTCACAGAACTACAGAAAGCTTCAATGATGTTCTCCCACCTCTGCTTCTCTCTCTGTCTGTTTATGCAGGATGGTAGAGTACTCTCTGGACCTGCAGAACATCAACCTTTCGGCTATTCGGACAGTGCGGGTCCTTCGGCCCCTCAAAGCCATCAACAGAGTGCCAAGTAAGAACATTTCAAGTTTTTGTCTGTGTACTTCTGCGAGGCAAACTTTGCTTTCATATGACTATGATTTTTTGGGAGTTTGTGCTTGTAGTTTCTCTTACTGTGAGTCTGTCAGTTCCAATTAGGCACAAACGCATCTGCATGGAAATTCATGTATATGTATTACATCTCTGGTTTCTTTGTGCACCCGTATGCCACCTGTACCCCACGGGGCTCATTAAACATTCATCTTATGCTGAATCACGCGGCCCGCTCGGGCCCTGAGTCACAGCTTTATCAGATTTACAAACCATCTATTAATGCTGCTCCACTGATCAGTCCGTGACCATAACCCTGTTCCTCACATCTAAAACTGTGTTCTTGGAATCAACGTTCCCACTCCTATTGATTTTGCTGTCCTGCTGCCCTAACAGGCAGCTTTGAATCATTTTAAGCACCAATTAGCCTTCACAAGCTAGGTTCAGACTTGTCTCATCACTTAGTTCCAACACTTTAGTAGTGAGCAAAGCATTAGCGCCTCATGCTAATTGTGATAATGCAGTTTGTAAAGTTTTTGATACAAAAACAATATCATTTATGTGATTTAATACTTTTTTTATTTAACTGAATTGCTTATGTTTTGTTCTTTTTCAGTTTTAAATAGAAAACTTTCGTGCAATCCATTTCTTATAAAGGTCAATTGGCCAAACAAAGCAACTTGAAACTCTTCATCAATATCTTTAGGTAACTGAAGTGTCTTTCTTAACAATCATGACATGAGTCCACAGCAGATGTAGCTTATAGTCTGATTCAGTTTGGGCCTTGGGAACAGATTCTGTACAAAAATGAAAAAAACCTTTTACAGCACATGTGAGGGAGAGAAAGGACCATTTAGAGTGGATGTGTTTGGGTCTGCTTTTAGATGCTCTCTGGCTCTCTGTGTGTCGTCTTGTTTGGGCTGTTCCAACCCTTTAGTCCACAAGCTCAGCTGTCTTTGTTGTATTTTCACAAGCCAACAACTAAAGCTAACTATTTTACGTACTCATTTTACTTCAGTTACACAATCATAGCTTTTTCTCCACCTCGAACAAATACAACAGATTTTTGCTCCCCACGTAAATGTCCAATCATGGGAGATTCTATTCAGTGTGATTATCTGAAAAGAGAGTCTGTCTTCAGTGTCTGATAGATTTACATTTTTCACACATTTAAGCTGTCTTTCAGGACCTAAGAACCTGCTAAGAACCTGCTCACAGCCAAAACAACAGCGCATTGGATATACGAATAAAAACGGCACTAAACCTTAGGGGGTTTTATAAGAAGAGAGTAGAGTGGGCATAGTGTTTTAGGGAGTGCACAGATTCTAGAGATGATTATGCATTATAGCATAAACCTCCAGATATGTGGGTTTGTTAGCATATGCATAGTTGATATAGATATAGTGTTTGTTTGCACAAGCCTACTCATAGTTTATGTTATGTATACCTATTCATATAACTGTTGTTGCTTGTGCATCATCATTTATTGTTTACGTTAAGATCAGTAAGCATGACTGTGTGATTTCCTCCAGTATCAGTGATCCCATTATGGCTTGGAAGCATGGGGATAAAGCTATGTGTACCTTGTGTTGTTGGGTGATTATTTAGCCCACAGATACACAGGGAGCACTAGCACATCATGACCCCTCACACACCTCAATTTGTAACCCTCCAACAAAATGATAGATAATAGTGCTGTGCTGTTGTGTTAGACTTGTTTTTTGGTGGAAAGGGTGTCAGATAGTAGGAGTGCTAGACAGAATTGGAGTGGGAAAGACAAAACACTTCATAAACTAGTGTTACTGTAGGAGGATGAAAAGAGAACTCTACTGGTTTAGTAAATAGCACAGGCATACAGCTGTAAATGTGTTTCCATTATGGCGCAAGGGGAGGCGTCCATCTTTATCGTGAAACAGCAGGAATCAGAGAGATGGAGGAAGGTGGCGAAGGAGCCAAAAAAAGGAGGGGAAAAGCATAAAAAGCTGGGACAAAATTTGATTTGTTGCTTTTCTCTCTATTATTTGTGTTTTGTTTGCATGCACCTTTTTGTTTTTCTTGTAGATACTCCGTTCTTCTTAAGCTCCCACCCTTGGGCTTTGACTTATTCTTGTCCCCCCCCCCCTCCATTCGTCTATTTCTCTCTCCACACAATTAGGCCTAATGGAACAGTGGCCTAATGACATGGACCCTGGGGAACAAACACATTTAGACTCGCCTGCAGCCGCCACAAGAGACACATACGCACTAGAGACAAACGCACCAGAGACAAACGCACCAGAGACAAACGCACCAGAGACGCTACTGCTCTCCATTTAATACCAGTTGACGAGACAAATTAGCCCGAGGAGGAAGATGAGTACGAACTCGCCTCAAGAATAATCTGTTCTAAAATGTTCATGGATTCCTACATTTCTGTTTTATTGCTTTATTGCTTTCCAACTCAGAACTGACACAAACATTTCATGTCTTTGTGTCATTGTTGAACGTTATCTTTTCTTGGCCAAAGGCAGGCTTGATCTTGACATTATTCCAAAAGTTTAGCAAAAGCTGCAACTTTGACCACACTTTACATTGATTGAAATACTTTATTAACAACTTGTATTAAAATCAACCAATTCTACACATGCATCTGCACACTTTACTGTAGGTTAACTTGTGAAAAATGTGTATCTAAACACTAGCTCACACATTTTGAACAATCACATAATCACTTGACTATACAGATTGATTAGCACTTGAGGGAATGGGGGGACTTTTCTTATGCCATTATTTGTTTACACAGCGTTTATGGTCTGTGTGGTGCATTGACGTCATACATTTGCAGTCTTGTAAATATTGTCTACATGTGTGTAAATCATCATCAACGATCTATCTCTCTCGTCCTCACCTTCTCTCTCTCTCTCTCTCTCTCTCTCTCTCTCTCTCAGCTTCTCTCCTGTCATTCAGGCTGTTGGCAGTTTAGATGCACTGTTATGTTGATGACACATTAACCTACTGTTGAGTTGTTATTCACAAATCCCAGCATGGCAATGAAACAAACACACACATGTCAGATAATTAGAGGCATACACACATATAATCACACTCATAGTAACACCAAAACACACACACCTCCCTCAGGTGTCAGTAAGGGGTGGCTGTGATCTCATCTCACCTCGGTCTCTCATCCCAGTCCAATCAGCTGTCATTATATCTCAATATGTCATCACTGCAGGACAGACCCATCCACAGGGGACAGGGTCGACAGGGGACAGGCATTTATTTCTGCAATTAGGGTTCATCTAATTATGAATAAGACCTCCTGTAGCCTCATTAGCATGTGTGTTCACAAGGTGGACGTCATACTGTATCTGTTTTCAAGTCAGTCTGCTGTCATTAGAATAATTTGAAAGGCTGTAGTGGGTGTGTCAGACAAATTCCATTAAATTGCTTAATTGTAACAGCAAATATATTCAAAAGGGAATGTAATACTACTCTGATTCACCTTATATCAGCATATAAATGTTTTTAGCAAATATATCTGGAAAGTCCCAAAATATTCACAGGACAATATATATATACAATATTATACTATACAATATTATACAATATATATATTATATATATTATACAATACAATATACAATATTACAATAATACAATTGTAATTGTACAATATTATACAATATTATATTATACAATATATACTGTATCATAGAACATGTTAAATGTGAGTTAATGATGCCATGCTTGCTTAAATATAAAAAGAGTCAAGAATGATTTGAGGCTTACTTAAATATTTAACCCAAAACAGGATTTTTCCAACCTTAAACAATGTTTTTTCAGTAGGCTTAATATTACCACATGTTGGATTCAGGATTTAAATCAACATTTGGCAAATCAACCATCCACTACCTCGCTTTGTGTGGTAAGAGAAAGAAGCAAATGAGTTCCTGCTAAACATATTAGTAGAAACATTTAGTAGCTTAAAATGAATGAGGCCTTCATTGTAGTTTTTCAGTAGTAGCCTATGCCGTTTAATGTAAAAAGACTTACAGTAGCGTCCTACATACAGAAGAGAAGTTGTGCAACAAAGCAATCTATATGCAAATATCCTTGATTACGGTATAAGCCAGAGATAATCCTTGACGATTGATTGATTAATTTTCTGAAACACAGGTATGCGTATCCTGGTGAACCTGCTGCTCGACACTCTGCCCATGCTGGGCAACGTGCTGCTGCTGTGCTTCTTCGTCTTCTTCATCTTCGGTATCATCGGCGTGCAGCTGTGGGCGGGGCTACTGAGGAACCGCTGTTACCTGGAGGAGAACTTCACCCTGTGAGTTACACACTGCAGATCTGTGTGTGTGTGTGTGTGTGTGTGTGTGTGTGTGTGTGTGTGTGTGTGTGTGTGTGTGTGTGTGTGTGTGTGTGTGTGTGTGTGTGTGTGTGTGTGTGTGTGTGTGTGTGTGTGTGTGTGTGTGTGTGTGTGGGTGTGGGTGTGGGTGTGGGTGTGTGGGTGGGTGGGTGTGTCTGTGATGTGTTGTGCCAATGTTTTGGAGGCTTGAAAATTAAGTTGACCGGCCACAAATTGAAAGTTAGGATGAGACAGAGAGAGAGAATGTGCACTCAAACCTCGCCTGAATGCTTCCAATTATTTTCCCTTTCATCGTGTTTTACTCGTGAATTTGAAAAAACATATTTCAGTTATGAATCTGTAAAATAATCATATATCGTAAACATCTCTGATGTGGCGAGCCGTCAGGGCCCTCTAGGCCCTCTGTGAGGGCCTAAGATATTAGAACTTTTTTTTTTTAAATATTATTTTTTATATTTTTTTGTTGTTACATTTTTCATTAGTTTTACCAAAATAACTTGATTTAATTGTATATAAAATAATATTTCCAAAGAAATAAATCCTTCGAATCTGCCTGTTCAGTTTCTGTTGGAATGTGAAGGGTTAAATGTCGTCTCTGCGAGTTATGTGAAGACGGGAGGGCTTGTTGGTCCCTCTCTACATTCACAGAGGGCCAGTAACTCAACGAGAGAGTAATGTCAAATGACAGTACAATTGACCAATCATATCTTCCCTCTAAATGGGCGGGCTTTATTTTCGCGGACTTTATGACAAGTTCCGCCCGCTGTGAGGTCTATGCAAGTGGTGCAGTGACGCGTCCTAAACCCCGGAAGTAAGCTTCGCTCGGAATCCCTCGACAGAAAGCAATGGGATTTCTCCAGAGGATTTTGGAAAATAGCTCGAAATAAGGTCTGTGGAAAACAAACCTGTTAGATAGTGATGGCGAGATGAAGCCTTATGAAGCTTTGAAGCTTTCCAGCCAATTGGTTCGCTAAAGGGTTCATCTCATGAGGCTTCATCATGGGCTTCATTTGAACACAAACCCCCTGTTGGTCAAAGTGTGTAAAACAGGCAGATTGGACATCTCAACAGTGTGCTCTATCTCATACCGAGTTCCCAATGAGTAAAGCCTTAGAATACCTCTAAACAACGAACATTAAATCATATTTTCATGTTAACAATATTGTATTTCTTCCAGTTAAATGATTGTGATTGAAAAGCCTAAGGAGGCTGGTAAACATTGCAAAGAGGGATTTGTATTCCTTAATAATATTCATAAACTTAACCATGTTGTAGCCTGAGAAAGGCTAAACCATATCAAAGAATACATTTGTTAACTACATTATCTCATTTAGCTGTAGCTTTTATAAACAACAACAAATACGTATTGTTCAGTCGTTGAACCAGGGACCCTGCGGTCATGAGTCAACTGCTTTCCAACTGAGCCACAGCACACACACTAAAGCTCCCTGAAAACACTGCAACATATTTATTCCTGTATTTATTGATGTTTTTATTCCTACATTTATTTATGCTTGTATCTATTTATACTTATGACATGTTCCGACCTCTATAAGTGAGGGTCTGAGCTCTCTTGATTCCATCGTGTCACCGGGCCCGGGTACAGGAGGGGTAATATGGTTCTTATTATACATCCATGGGTAATATGAGCGTTGTGGTTCAACGGTTCAACCGATCTGAATCGCTTCGTGAAGCAGTCACATGGTATCGACAGGCAGCGAGACTTCGTTTGTCATCGATGACGTCACTGGCCCAAAACGATACAAGCCTCGATACAAGCTTCACAAAAAGCTTCGGGCATTACTCGACACACGCTCCGAAGCCTCGGCGCAATACGTAACATCACTACTGTTAGATAAATGCACGTTTTGTTCAGCCGGATAATATCCACATGTCTACCCTACTTTTATTATTTTCGAATCATAAATCTAATCGATAGATTTATGATCGATAGAGGGCCTAGGTATAAAAGTCACGGCTCGCCACTGTGTCTGTGTATGATCACATACTCTTCTCTAACTGTAAATGTTTCCCCTTTCACATGGTTTTCATACAGGATTAAACCATATGCTGTATGTTTTGTATATTTTACTACAGACATTAGAATAACTCCATCTTTCAGCGTGTCTTTCTCCGTGTCTATGTCAATCTTCAAAGCAAGAAATAAAGTTTTACCCTGTATTGCTTCTGAGAGCACGATTAGATTCCAGCTGCATGCCTCCATATTCATGACCCTGCATGACGGCATCACCTACTGTGTCTGTGTGTGAGTGACATTCACAAGTGTTCAGGAGTGTTGGATTTCATGACATTCTCTCCGTTTTTAAGCTGGTGTATGCCGGATCAAAAGGCGTATGTCCTTATTGTGGGTGTGCTAATATGTATACAAGCCATGTATACTGTTCTGTGCACTCTGTCTCAGGTTATGCTGACATAGCGTATACTAATGAGAAATCTGATAGCCAGATGAAAGGAGACACGTGTCCGCCCGCTGGCACAGTCCTGCCTGCTTTGTCCTCACCTTAAACTTGAGTGGCTACATTAACCTCGACAACCTCTAAAGTAATCAATTCACAATTCAAAGTGACTTTACGCAATGTTTCCTGCATTTATTTTCATAGGGCAATAGAGGGATTAGCTGGACTCACTTAGACTTGACTTTACTACTTTGGATAAAGCAAAATAAAGGACACAATTTTGATCAGCAGAATATGTTTTAGTGGAGCTTCAGAAAACATTTAGTTTGAGTAACCTGTTCATCAGGTTTTTGCTCATTATTTAATCAAAGACCTATTGTTTCTTATTATTTTTAAAGCAGTTCGGTATCATATTATTCAGGTTTGTCTGGGTGCTTGAGTACTTAATTAGGAAGGTCGTAGTGTGTTAGCACTTGAGAGCTATTATGCTAAGTAAAGGGCTAACGTTAGCGTTCTGAGGGGTTATGATAGAGTGGGCTGAGTGTCGCACTCAAGTGCAGCATTCACATTTCACACCCTCACTATTTTGATCCCTACCTCTCTCTTTTCATGCCTTATTCTTGGCTTTCCGCCTCAACCTTAATTCTTTCTTCTTTTTTTAAAGTCTCCAGTCATTTGGTATTAGCATCTCCCATTCAAAACTCATTGTATATATTTCTATGACATCTTTCCTTCATGCAATCCTGCCTTCACATGTCTTTGAGAGCTTCACTTTATCTGATTGCTGGAAACTGTGTCTTTTCTTTGCTGCTGTGCACCCTTGATCCTTCCTTCTGCCTCGCTCTCCACTGGCAGGTGTTTTCTCAGTGTGTGGCCAGGTTTTGCTGTGCCATGCTGAGCAGTGCCAAGTGACTGGCAGGGGGGGGGGGGCAACAGCCTTCATTCATGCTCCACTACTCTGACAGGACCCTTCACTCTCTCTCTCTCTTAACTTCCTTCTCTTTAGCACCAATTTGAATGCCACTGATAATCTTTCTCATTATTTTTGTACGTTTATGTTTTGTGTCCTCAATTGGATTGCATGTAAATCAGTGTAAGCTATACCTATCATTGTTGTCAATGGTATTGTCTGGATCGATCCTGGAATTAGTGTGCATGCATGTGTGTCATGTGTGTGATTTGTGTGTGAGGTAAAAGGAGATCATCTCGCCCTATATATGTCAGCAGTATCTAACCTTTATTGACAGGGTGAGACGGGGGAGGATCAAGGAAATTGGCTAGGAAAGGAATCTGGGAGGTAAGTGGAAAATGGGGAGAAGGGACAATCAGAGAGAGAGGGGGGGAGCAAAAGAGAAGAAGAAAGAAAGAAACAAGAGGATTAACACTATGATAGGAGGAGATAACACATACAAAGTACGTTATAGTGAAAGGGTTCAATGCCTTATAAGGCATGGTTGTACTCTATGCAAATGTGTGCATGAGCTTGAGTTGTATTTATACATATCATAATAAGCAGCAGGCTGAACGTAACTGTATTAGTGCAGGTGTGTGCATAACTTATTGTCTCCCCCTTTGCAAAATACAGAGCATTCACAGAGGAGCCTGGTATGTACAGAGAAACGGGGATAAAACAACAAAAGGGAGAGACAGCAAAAGGAGTGCTGCAGTGACAGACTGACAAAGACAGTGCAATGAGTAAATACTGAAGGTCCAGTGACCCTGAAAGTGTGTGTTCAGTAATGGGCCTGCTGATAGAGAGGGTCTATTTTTGTCCTCCCGAAGCCCAGACCACAGTATGAGCATCGTCACACCTGCCGTCATTTAGCCCACAGTCTTGTCAGAAACACACACTCAAACGCAATAGGCCTTACTGATTGGTTCAGCAGTGTTAGTTTTTCATTTTCCTAAATCCATCTCATTGTTTTCCGTGAATTTTGCATTGCTTTTATATCATTTTGTGTTTTCTTATTTGTATTTCTCCTTAATTCGCTTCAGCAGCAGTTTTAAGTTGAATGATATTGCCTTATTTCCTATACACTTAGCATGCTTTGAGTGCCTTACACTTTCTTCTTCTGTTTATTGCTGTTTGTAATAAAACGTGTGCACTCGTTAGAGCCCCATCAACACATAACTGTAGCAATGGCAGCCATTTTTCGCTTTAAGGAAGTTGAGCCTGATTTCCCAGGTGGATTTGAAAAGAGATTTTGGAGGGAAATGATGAGGTGCTTCAGATGGTGGCAATCAGTTAGATTCAGATTTTGGAGATGTGTGTCATTAAGTCTAGCAGAAATCAGCCAATCACTACTGACTCACTCACTCTCTGAAAAGGGACACTTACAAGTGGTGAACCAGTTCGTTGACGGTGAGTGTTATATGTGTCGTTTGCATGAAAGTATAATCTGTTTTCCTCCTGATTTCATGCTAGTGCACACAAACGCTGAATTTTAAACTAAGTTTCCACATTACTTATTTTACGTCATGCAAAACATACTAATATCCAATGATATGCTAGTAAATAGGTTAGCTTGGTAAATACTATTTTCCTTTTGTATCGTTGACGCAGGTTATATAACTGCTTCTTTATTAGGACATACCACATTGAGTAAAAGCCCTGTGTCTCAGAATAAGACCAACAAGATATTTGGACATTTTAAGAGCACCCCTCCATTGACCTCATTAAAATCCTAGACTTCTGAAGACATTGCATCTCAGAAAGTGGCGTACGATGATCTATCACAGTACCAGTCTGAGGAGTTTATGTAGCTGTCCCTGTTTTAAAAGAAGAACTCACTTGTTAAGTCTGTTTGTCAAGACGGAGATCCAATCTTGACTTGCAAGTTGTTGTTTTGTTTTTTTTACAGTGTTGGTCTGCCATTAAACATCCTATTGTAAAGCGCTTTTTGCTAGATGACTGCTAATAATGCACTTTGTTGTCATACGGTGAAGGCAAGAGTTTAAATATATGTTAAATAAATGCTATGACACATCTATGCTTGTTTGGAGAGCGGTCACTAAGGCTTCTCTCAGGTCTTCACTATGGACGTATTGGTGTCCACACTTCACACCAGGAGTAAACAAAAATCATGAGAAAGAAAGAACACATTAGCTGCTGTACGATCCAGTGACCCCCTGAGATGGCAAAGCCAAATGCAAAAAATCAATACAGAATTGATTCAAATGATCCGGTTCACTAACTAGATGTCTGCTTTTGTGAAACTTTCTATTAATAGTGGCAATTGTATTCCTACTTTTCCTGGCACACTGATAAATAAAGGACTATTAGTCATTGAAGGTGACGTCTTCTGCTTGATTTCTCCTCTTGCTACTCATTCTGTCATGGCCCGACCAACACATGACCCCCCCCCCGTTCACCACACCTGTCAGCGCGCCTTTGTTTCGCTGCATTAGCTTTAGGCTGTGTTTGCTAGTTCATTGCTGGGTCAGGTTTGTCTCTCAAACAGACATACTGTATATACTTTCCAGCTTAATACTGATTAATGTATAAGTCTAGTTAGGTCAGGAGCTTCCTGATCTCCTTCTTTCTACTATATGTGCTCATGTTTATCTATTCACACTGTTCGGTTATTCTTGTTAGAATGAAGAAGAAATAAACAGAATATATAATGCAGAATCATTTGCATTACTTTATTCTCCACTCAGTGAGGCATTTATCCTGCAGACTTGGTTGAGTCTCCACATTCTCTCCTCTTGCTCCCTCTTACCTCTCCTTCTTTCACTGAATCCTCGTGGTAATCCCTGTATTAAAATATGTACAATGTACTGTATTATGAATATACATCTTTGATTCCGTAAAGGTCACCTATTTTATTTATTTTTTGTCTTTTATACATAAACATGTGTCCCCTAGAGTTTCTGAAAGTTTCAGGAAAAAATATTCGCTCACTTTTTGTCCTGATCCATTTATATAAAAACCTGTCTGAAAATGAGCTGATCAGATTTTGGCTACTTTATGATGTCATAACGATTTATTATTATTATTATTATTATTATTTTTAACCAAATATCTCTCAGAGGGGCGTGGGGAGGGTCTCCTTATTTTCATCTAAAGTAACAGACAGAGAATCAGCACTTTTGAAACAGGGCTGATTATGGGATGCTGCAAAGATCTGTTTGGTGTTTGGAGCCAAACACTTCAGAGACATGTTTTGTATATATCTGAGACTCATAATATATTGATGAAAAAGAGTAGAATAGGAGACCTTTAACACACTTATTTCCTTCCCTTGTCACAGCCCCAGCTCTTCAGGTATGACCCTACCTGCTCCATACTACCAGCCAGAGGAGGATGACGAACGGCCCTTCATCTGCTCCCTGGCAATTGATAATGGCATCATGTCATGTAATGATGTGCCGGCGAGGCGCGAAGGAGGACGCACATGCTGCCTGGACAGGGAGGACGCGCTCCACAGACAGGGTTTGGGCTTGATTCCTGAACCACTGGCCAACGGGAGCGGTGCCGGTGAAGCAATTGGTCTATGCATCAACTGGAACCAGTATTACACTCGGTGCCACACAGGAAGTACTAACCCCCACAAAGATGCCATTAACTTTGACAACATTGTCTACGCCTGGATCGTCATTTTCCAGGTATGTTTGGGTGTGAAGACTGATGAGGTGAGGGTGAGGTCAGGCTGTGGGTTTCTGAGCTTGTAATTTGGGCTGGGGAATATAGAGAGGCAAAGTCACACCCATCTACTTCCGGTCCATGGGACCTTATTTCGGAAAAATTATGTATTGAAGTCAATGGAGAGAGAAAACGTATCTTTCGATCCCGTTTGAATTGTGCCATGAATTACACATATGATGTTTGGCAATCTTAAAAACTCATTTCCATGTCAAAAAAGTCACAGTTTGTCACAAAACTGTTGAAATATAAGACTATGAAAAATACGCAACTAGAAAGACTACAAATCCCAGAATCCCGGTCCCGCATGCTGGCTCTTACGAACCGACTAACTCCCCTTGTGTGTATGTACAGCTCTCAACATGCCCAGGCTTGGAGTGATTTTCAGCTCTTTTAATACTTTCCGCCTCATTCTGAAAGAAAGAAGTGAAATGTTCCAACTTGACGGCCGTCTTGGTGTGTGGTGCGAGACGGGAGATGTAGTTCATTGAGCGGTTTCACACAAAAAAAGTGTTACTTCACAGGTTTACGACGCATCTTCATTTTTTTTACTTGCAAAAGTATCTTTTAAATTGACAAACATCATATGTGTAATTCGTGGCACAATTCAAACGGGATCGAAAGATAATCTTTCTCTCTCCATTGACTTCAATACATACCTTTTCCGAAATAAGGTCCCATGGAGCTCCCCCGGAAAGGGAGGGACTTCGCATCTCTATTATTTTAAATCTCTGATAAATGCTGTCTTTCTCTGATTACATTTGGAACTTGTTTAGACTTATCTAGCTTTTCCTTTATTTAGCTTTACACACTTATTCATTGTATTTAAGTTAATGATGATTATTGACCGTGATGACCAAAATCTCATTGTAAACAATATTTGATAAAAGCAAAAATGGTCAACCCTACAATATTCTCACATATCAATTCTGTATTTTCCAACCCTTTTGTAATACGATGAATCTGAAGAAATATACGTTTTTAGATTCTGAAGTGATCAAATAGTTGCTTCAGAACACATGTGGGTTTTCTTTGGCTGATTAAATTATGTGTAATGTATTTGATTTGTTTCACTTAGGCAATAATGCAATTATCTGTTATTTGATTGGCAAATTCCATTAGATTTAAACATAGAATATGAACTATGATGCACAAGTAAAGTTTGCAATTATACTGCTAACAAAGCTCTGAGAAAGAAATGGTTGAGCTTGTAAACTTGTAGATGTTTATTGTCTTTAACACTCCATACCATTTTTGCTCATAGGTGATCACTCTGGAGGGCTGGGTGGAGATCATGTATTATGTGATGGATGCCCATTCCTTCTACAACTTCATCTACTTCATTTTACTCATCATTGTAAGTCAAATTCACCGCTACAATTGTTCTTAATTGTTTATGTATTAGTACACTTCATCCCTTCAGGCTGACACATCGAGTGTACACTGTAATCTGATAATGGATACATAAATAATTAACTGTAACTATCTTGAGATAAAAATCCCTTCCAACGTTTCCAATATATATTGACATCTGCCATCACTTTATTTAATGAGCATATTTCCTGAGTAGCAGATGGAAGTGTTAATAGCCTTGTGAAAATCAATAGTAGCATATAGAACTTTCTAAAATCAATGTTATGTAAATATTACTTTGGCAATAAATAGCAAAATAAGGAGAGGAGAGAAAGAAAGACGGTTAAAGAACTTTTCAAAAGTGAGATGTACTTGTATGCAAGAGCTAGATCAGCTCTTTGCATGCAGTGCCAGAGGGTGACACAATGGAAGTTGTTTAATTCTTCACGTGCCATTGCCTGCCCGTAAAACTGGAATTCAGTCTGTTGAGCAGCACACGTACAACAAAAGTCCCAGTGGTTTCCCACAGGCAGGTGAACACAAAAAGAAGTAGACATAATGGCCTTTGTAAGGCTTGAAAATAGGATCAATAAATACCTTAGGAGAGGGAACCAGGTGAGAGAAAAGAAATGCGAAATGATAGTGAAGATTCAATGGAAAATGAATAAACACACAAATCAAGTACACAAACACATCCACTGTGATAAAAACGTAATGCAGTGGGAGTCCTGCACTTCAAAAGAGTCCTTTCCCCCCATTCTCCTCTTCCTCACAACATTGGCCTTATTAGGTTGAGGAGATTATTGGCATTGTGACTGCAGCTTTAAATGCCCTCCCCTCGCTGGCAGGTCTGACCTGAGGTTGTCATTGCCAGTGTAAACACCTTTTGGCACCCAAAGATAGTAGACATGGTGTCACAGTGTAATCACTTTGGCTTGGCTTTAATGCTGCTAAATTGATCACAATCTCATGGCCTGTGGACTGTAGAGCCAAACACTACAGTTATAGACATATCCAGCTAAGCACACATTGTGATGAATTGAACTGCTGATTACATCCTAATTGTTATACCTGCTTATGAATGCAGAATCTGTAGGAAACAACACAGAAGAAGACTTAATCATCAAAAGTGTCATTGCCCACGTCTAAGCAAGCTTTGGCTTTATGCAGGTAAACAGTCAGCTAAAGGAGCACAACTTCGCTGATTTATTATCCTAATAATAATGATACATTTTGTATTTAGTTTCGATATAAACTGTTAACTGACTTAATTTGCTACTTGTGGCGCATGAACAAAGAAGTCTTTGCCCGAATATCCAATTACTACAACAAACCCCAAAGTAATAGCCTTATCTTCTAGATGCTTAATCGCCGCTAATGTGTAGTGAAGCTTCATGTTTGTTGCATTTAGTCTCTCAGAAGTGAACAAATACTGTAAGCTGAACATACAAAGCTCAATAACTTGCACGACACTTAGCATCAGGCCAACACCATGCTCCCTTTGTGGTACATTATTGATTGACAAAAATGTGCCGCCCCTTTTGAGTATCTCTGCAAGCCTCCATTCTGTTTGGCAGCTTGTAGTCAAAGGTCCTGAGGGAAGCCTTGGAAGTGTTTTGCTGACAGTATAAGAAGTTTTTGGGCAGACATTTCCATGAGCCTCAAAGGTGTTGTTCACACAGTGAGGGTCACCTTGACTGTCTCATCTTTCATTTTGCTCTTATTTAGTTTCTCTGACAGTGTTCTTTTGTTATGGAGTTGCAGTACCCTGTGCTCTTTTTAAGCTTGTTAGTTGATCCTGTAAGTGAGTATGTTCCTAGAAATAGCACTTGGTTTGACCTCCACAGAGTCTCATATCTATCTGTTTGATACTTGATATACTGTCAAGTGTGCAACCCAATAGTCTTAATGGTGTCACATTGAAGAGAGACTAAATGGATTTAAGTGACTTACAGATTTTGCTACCAAGAGGGCAATTAATAGAAGATGTCGATTTCAGAGGAAATAGAATATATGGGCATACATGTTTGTGAAGGCTAGTGCATGGAAGCACATACAGTAGACACATGCAATTAAGTAAGCCTGTGGATCACACATAATGTTTTCTATGTGAATTTGTGTGTTTGCATGCATGCATAATGCAGTGATATCTGATATTAGACTGCCTGTCTTGATTATGCGCAAAGATCAGAATCAGATCAGAATCTCTCACACACACACACACACAAAAACACACACACACACACACACACACACACACACACACACAGAGATGCAACCCTGGAGGGAAATCAAAGGCCCACACACCTGCAGACCTGCTTTGACCCACAGGACACAGATGGTCATCTCTCCTCCCTCTCTACATCCCCGCTGCGTTTCCTCTCTCTCTGTGTGAATATCTCTGGAGTCTCCTCCTTTTTTTGTATTCCTCCAGCTTCTACCTTCTCTCGTTACATCTTTGATCACTGTGGATGGATGCCTAAAGTTGCAGGGTCATCAAGTTTAAAACGTATATCTATTCATGTTTTATTGAATATTCCTGCTCCAAGTGTTTTTGGCCTTGTAGCTGTAGAGTGTCTGTGATGTTCTCGATGTGAGAGAGCTTTGTCCAGGGAGAAACAGCGGAACATGTTCAGATTTGTAATGAACAAAAACCTAGACTCTGCTACAGGCTGCCCTATCCATCCCGCAGTCTGATTCTTGAGTTGTACAGCATTAGGCAATATTGATCTAATCATTGTCCCGTAACCAGCTCAGAGTAGTCTAATAAAAGCCATTTCAGCAGTCCTGCAGTGATTCCTATTACTGCCACTAAAAGGGTCAGCCAACACGTACAAACCACAATGCACCCCATCTCCTCTCTGCAACTATCCCTCCGACATTCGCTTGTAAGAGTAATGAAAAGCTCTTTTGTGGAAAATAAGTAAAAAAATAGAGATGCACTCATGGGTAAAGAAATGTTTTGAGAAGCAGCATGGCCAGAAAAAAAGGAAAGACAGATATTAAATTGGAGTAGGAGCGGGTGGGAAAGTTAAGTGAAGTAAGAGTCTGAGAATAAAAGGAAGAGAAAGATAGCCAGACGCTGAACTGTGCTTTGGGCATGTGTTGGCTCTGTCTGTCTGCTCCAATCAGCCTCTGTTTGGTGGCAAGCCAGCCTTCAGAGACCTTTAGCATGTGTGTTCACATTTCTACAGGGGGATTGGCACACATTATTAGAATCATCAAGTGTGTGAGCTTTATGTCAAAACAAGTCTGTATTTAGTATTGGAAAATCTAAATTCTTTAAATATTTCATGTTTCTTAAATGAGCAACATCTGCTTTAGCCGTAGGCTGATTATTTAAAATATGGCACTTTTAGTTTGGGTTGCCTATTGGATAAGTTATTCAAATCTTGATGTGTGCACTAACTCTTTTTTTTTTTTTAAACACGTTATTATTCGTGCTAGTAGCTCATGTTCCCTGCAGTAATTCTCCTTTGTTTGCTCTTACTCTTTCACACTTAATGTGTGGTTTATCTTTACTCATCCAACATGTTTCCCCTCCATACATGGTTTAACTTTCTGTTCCTTGCTCCACATCCATCCAGATTGGGTCATTCTTCATGATCAACCTGTGCCTGGTGGTCATCGCTACCCAGTTCTCGGAGACCAAACAGCGGGAGCACCAGCTGATGCAGGAACAGAGGGCGCAGTGCCTGTCCTCCTCCACCCTCGCCAGCATGGCTGAGCCGGGAGATTGCTACGAGGAGATCTTCCAGCTGGTGTGCCACGTCCTCCGCAAGGCTAAGAGGAGATCGGCAGCTCTCTACTACACGCTGAGGGGCAAAACCCCGCCGGCTGCTGGTGGCAGGGGCAACAGGCGTGGGGGGGGAAATGTGAACGGAGAGCGTCATCATTCCAGGCACCCAAAAAGTGAGTTGGAGAGCCTCAGGGATGGCCTGGGAATATGCAACATTTGATATTTTTTATTTCAGTAATTGTGTAACTGTTAAATATGTATTTGTTTTTCGAAAAAAAACATAATGATATCATGCGTTTGGTTAGTTTTGTGTTTATGGGTGTATCTGTATGCTTGACTGCCTGTCCGCATGCTATTGTAGCGATCAGCCCGATATTTTTGCTCATTTTTGACTGTCTGCTCAAGGACATCTTGTGGTTATGGTGAAACACAATTAGACAAAGGAAAATGACAGTTTTATACTGTGATTGACTGCTGATTTCTCAACATGTTTGCCTATAGACTAGGTTAGGTGTCACTCAGCCTGTTGAACTGCACTGTGCGGAGTGCACTTTTCTACTTCAAGTATTAAAATGATCACACGATGATGGATATACATTTAAATAAATGTGATGCAGCCTTACTAGGGTTGACTACAAATGTGGCTGCATTTTAATGGATGTGATTTAGGGACTGATTCAATGTTTACTACAAATTCCCTTTTTTGAAACTTTTGCAACAGGAGAAAATACTTTTTGTATTGTGTTCATTATACAAATAATTGCTTAATCGTGAATAAAATGCATCTATTAATCTCATATTCTTTTTCTTCCCATCCCTCTAGCATTCCACTGTCCACACCAGAGCAAGCCAGACCACGGCTCTCAGCCACTTGAAAACTCCATCAGTCTGTCTGTCCCTCAGAAACCTGAGGACTGTCCTATATGCGTATTATCACTGAAAGATGGGGTGAGAGCGGAGGGAGACTCCGGCAAAGGAGAGGAAGAAGCTGAGGATGCGGTGAAAGAGACGGGCAAGGAGGAGAACCATCTAGAGGAGAGGGGAGATGGAGAGAGGAAGAAGAAGAGGACGTGTTTTCGACATTGTATCGAAACCTGGAACGATATGAGGAGGAAACTTTGGGGCATTGTAGAGAGCAAGTACTTCAGCAGGGGCATTATGATCGCTATTCTGATCAACACCATCAGTATGGGCATCGAGCACCATAACCAGGTAAGATTGTCAATGCTGTCACACAAACATCCATACTCATGTATATGCAGTCATACTTTGTCATTATAACAGACCAAAGTGAAATAAGACCCTTATTTTATGCCCAAGAAATTGAGTAAATGTTTTGGATATTGATAAATACAAGGTTTCTTGCCGCCATTGTATTAAATGCATTGTCTCATATCCTTTACACTCATGCACTAGTGTCAATAGAGTGCATTACCCCCTCACGCCCACAATTCACCACAGATTAAACACTACCCCTGCTGATGAAGCATCGCTGCTAGAATGATCATAATAGCAGATGACATTCAGGAGGATGAGCGTGGGAGTGGAGCATCACTGCCATGCAGTTTCCTGACAGAGGTGTAAACATTTAGCCTGGCGGTAGACAAATCCGAGCCGGCTTTTAACATTGGCCAGGCTCCTCAGAGACAGACAAGGCAGGTGTCTGAGAGCAGTGTGGAGGAAGCCTGCCAAGACCACGACCACACGCAAACACACACACACACACACACACACACACACACACACACACACACACACACACACACACACACACACACACACACACACACACACACACACACACACACACACACACACACACACACACACACACACACACACACACACACACAGTGTGCATAGTTACATAAGAGCTTTTTCTTTTTTTCCTTAATTTCTCTGTCTCTCTCAACTCCCTCCCTTGCTAATTTTACTTCCAGTTCTCTCCCCTTATTTTCCACATAAATCCCTCCGTGCATCTTTCCTTTGCACATTCCTTCCCCCACTCGCTCTTTTGTTCCTCCCTGTTGCTGCTTCCTTCCGTCCTTCCCTCCTTACCCCAAGTGTCTGATCTACTGTCTGACTCTCTTTTCCCTCCCTCAGTCTCACACTCCTTCTCCCCACTTCCCTCTTCCTCTCTCTTATCCACCCACGCACTCTTTGACAGTGTACAGAGTAGTTGCTTTCTCTCATCTCCAAAGATTCTAAAAATAAACGAGGGTTTGTTGGGAGGTGATGTGGGAAGAACGAGGCAGACGCCGGTTACACAGCAGTTTGCAGCTCAATTCCCTGTGTTCTTTTCAAAGCAGGCATGTATGCACCAACATAGGTACACATTTGCATGCACACACTCTCAGACGCTTTGTCTGTCCGTCTCTTGAGTCTTTCTCCCTCCACAGTTTCCACACGCTCACACAGAGGCAGTGATACTACTGTGATTTCGCTCTGCAGTAAGATGTCTCACCCCTGGTGTTTGAAAACAGTCACGAAGCTGAGGTGCTTCTCCCAATAAAACGGCAAAACCACATGGCTGCCTTTCCCGCTTCACACCCTACCTCGGGGAAATGTTCTTCTCAAGTTTCTGCTTTAAAATGTTAGACTGTCTGGTGGTGTTTTTTATATTCATCTTGGATTACTGCAAATTTAGCCATAACATGAAGTTGCATGTTGCAGGTGTTGTAGACAGTAAGTGAAATGGTTGAACTATTAAAAAATAGAGCATCATAAGCATACATTCTAATATTCAAATTAACTTTAACATTTTTGTTTTAGATATAATTTGTATTTGTTTCATATATTATCAAGACTTGCTGTGCATTATTAGAGGAACATAATGTAGGTGTAAAGCCTTTGCCGAGACATAATCCATCATTACCTAGCTTTTAGGACAAACAGATTTTTACAGAGCTGAGCATTTTTGAGTTTAAGTAAAAAAAAAAACATTTATTTGACAAGGATATTTTAGGAAGTTAGATAGAATCAGAGCCTACCCTGTATTCAATGTCCGCACCCTCAAACGCAGAAAAGCTGACAACAGTTAATTATGTTCCACTTTATTTTTAAACACTTAATCTCATCTCAAATATCCTTGTTATGTTTTTAATATTTTTAGTCAACCTTAACAGAACACAACTTCCACACATTAATACACATATAACACAAAAAACAACATGAAGGCATTAGTCAAATAAAAAAGGAGACACATATTGGCCATAACAGCAATATCCATTACACCTGAGTCAAGGATTATGTAAAAGGTCAACATCTTTCCTTCAAGGCAGTTTGTAAAAAGAGCTCAAAGAAGGTATTACTAAGGTAATGATAGTTGGGAACTCATTGTTAGGAATCGTGGAAAAAGGTATGACCCAAATGCAGAATACAAAAAAAGGTAAAAAGGTCTAGGAACAAAAAGCGAGCTTTATTTAAAAAAAGCTGATGAACACAAACAGGTAGCAACAACACAAGAACTGACCGTGACCAACATGGAGGGAGACAGGAAAGACGACGAACAGACCTGGAGCACAGGGGAAGACAAGACTAAATACAAAGAGGGGTAATCACTGGACAAGACACAGCTGGGCAGAGGAGGCAGAAACACAAGGGCAACAGGTGAACACAATCAGACACAGGAGGAAAACACAGGAAGGAAGACAAGAGACAGGGAGAACAGAATTGCAAAATAAAACCCATTACAAGACAGACAAAACTAAAATCGTGACATAACACTAGGATCGTGACACTCATTTCATGAGAGCAGTATTACTGAGCTCAGAGCGCACCCTGGGGTCATTTTAAAATAATTCTGTTCGTAGATATTGCTGTAATTGCTGGTGTGAAATGAAAAAAGACTGGATATAGAAGTAGGTTGTTTGCCGCACTATTTTTGGGGAATAAAAAACAACATGTGCATTTTCCACAAAGAGGATTGCATATAAATCACAATGACTCAAGACCAAGCCGTTTATTCATCCTTTTAGTCTCAGTCATGGGAAAAAACCTGGTTGACGAAGATGTTTAGTCATGTTTTCATTTACAAAATGAACACTGGTTTTACGTTTGCACATTTAAAGACAAGCCTCCAATTTGCATTCTTGTGTGTTCTTGGACATCTGTGTGGAAAATAAATTGGCCCATTGAAATTCGGTCGTAGAGGTTTTTGCTCATTCATTCATATTCAAGCAACATTCACATGCTGACTGAGGACACATGTCAAGAAAGAAAAAGGGAAAGGATATTTTTACGAGAATATATTATATGAAATATTCATTAGATGGACAGCTAGTGAAATAACACAGAACACGGGTAGAAGAACATGAGGAGGAATACTGTGGGTGAAATAACAGGTGAAGAAGAAGAGAAGCAGGGGGGAGAAAGCAAGCAGAGGGAGAAATTATGGTGTTTTGTCTGATTTAAACTGTGGTGTCAAGGGCTGTGATGGTTCTGTCAATAGCATTACATCTCATATCTTGTGTTTGTACTTACGACTACTGAGAGAGTTCTCGACACAGGTCAAGGTTAACGCTGACTGCTGAGCGGAGGAAATGCATTTATCCCTACATTGCCTATTCTCTACACAGATAGTAGTTTGAGTATTTCTTTTAAAATGTGTGTCTTGACTTTTGCATTTGTATAGAGGTGCCAGTAATGTCATCGTCTAAACCGCTCTGTAGTCCACAGATTGATCCAGCTTCACTACGGAGCTCAAATGTCTCAGTATATGTTCTTCAGGCTAAAACACGGTAGTGAAAACTGAGCTTCTGAGAGGTGGTTTTGTGGGTTTAATTCATTTTTCTTCAATGTTCCGTTTATCATTGTTACTCTTTCTCCCCTCTTATTGAGTATCTTCCAGTCCTCTCCTCCATCATGTCACCTTCTTCTAAACAATGCCTCCGCTTGCTCCTCGTTTTCCCGCTCCTTCAGCTGAATTCTCCTTCCACCCTTCTCCCACCCCTGATCGACAGAAGGACATTGATCGGGAAGAGATGGGTCTGTCTGATAATGAGACTCAGAAACAATGAGAAAAAGGGGATGGAGAACTAGGGGGATGAAGATAGATTGGGAGAAAAAGCGGATTAGAGGAGGGGGATGGCTGGCAGTGTTTTGCTCTGACATGGTTTGCTAACTTTGGCAGGGCTAGATGACTATTTCTCCGCTGGCTTTCAAACTGGAATTCACTGGGGGTATCAAAGAAAGCATCCGATCCATATCGTGAATACCACACGTTCACTCACACAAAGTATACTTTCAAAAAGCGAATCTGCTTGTGTACACACACTCATACAAAAGAAAATAAACCCAAAGGATTTACTGGAGCATGTGTGTGTGATTTCTGTGTGTGTGGTTCATTTCATGTTACTTTGCCAATTACAGATAACATGAACCTGTATTCTGCCAGTGTTCAATGATATACATTCTCACTTTCCCAGATTCTTTTCCCTGTACAATTTTTATTTATTTCCCTATTTTCTTTCTCTTCTCTTTCTATATGTCCGTTGCCTATATAAGACCAGCTGTATGCTTTAATCGTATTTGCCAGGTAGAACACATTCTTAGTTTAAATGACTAATTTCTCTTTCTCAGATTTATTCTGTTAGCGATATGACGCTTCCTGTGTTTTTCTTTAATATTTAAATGTATTTCCCCGGGTAATTTATTTCCCTATTTTTACACTCTCCATCTTCCTCCCTGTATGCCTATCTTAAGATACATTTTATGCCTTAATTTTATTTACCAGGTAGGATAAATAACTTTTTCAAGGGACTGAAAGTTTGAGTGACAGCCTTTTCAACACAGAACAGACATGTAAACAATTGTTTTCGCAGTGGCTCCAGCATCTATTGTTGGGACGAATGCAAAGCAGTGGAATAATATCAACTATGTATTTGTCTCTTTGACTGTACCTGCCTCATTGTGGATATCAATTCTGTTTTTTTTACCTGGAATGCTTACAACTCAAACCTTATCTTCTACCCTACTCTCCCTATACCTGCATCTACATCCTTCCTACTTCTTTTAATTCTGTCTTTCCGTTTCTGTCACCCAGCCCGATGAGCTGACCAATGTCCTGGAGATCTGCAACATTGTGTTCACCAGCATGTTCACCCTGGAGATGATCCTGAAGCTGACTGCTTTTGGCTTCTTTGAGTACCTGAGGAACCCCTATAACATATTTGATGGCATCATCGTCATCATCAGGTCTGCACACTACAACATTTATTTTCTGATTGTCAAGTTAGGTTGTCACTCTGTCAAGAAGTTGAGGTGGAATAATCACAAAATCCAGAGCCTTGAATTAACAGCTTCAAATCCCTTCAATGTAAATTCATTAAAGCTTCGGTCCAAACATGTAATGGTTGTCCAGCTGCTGTACATCTAATTAACTTTGAGACATCATTTAATCTCCAGAAAACCAATCAGATATGTCCTTAAACAAAGTGCATACATTCCCCATGGCGCTTTTCTTTAAACTACACTACTCATTTTGTGGCAAATGTTTAATATAGGAAGTGTTGAAGCAGAATGGGGGTAATAAATGTAAAATGCAGGAGTATTCCTCACAAGTACGGATTATACACTTTTATTGGTATTTTGTGATTTTATGTTGTATTATCTCTTTTGGTCTACCCTATTTCTATTGATTTGTAGTTCCTTTTTATTTCCACATTCCCCAATTATAATAAAAATGTATCCACACATCTTGACATTTTGATCACATCTTCTCAATCTGCCTCTCTGTCCTACACACATCCCCCCAATGCGTCGCCTGCAGTGTGTGTGAGATCATCGGCCAGGCAGACGGCGGGCTGTCAGTGCTGAGGACCTTCAGGCTGCTGAGGGTCATTAAGCTGGTGAGGTTCATGCCGGCGCTCAGACGGCAGCTGGTGGTGCTGATGAAGACCATGGACAACGTGGCCACTTTCTGTATGCTGCTTATGCTCTTCATCTTCATCTTCAGGTAACAGAGGTGGACACACCATTTTCTCAATGTGAGAGAAGGCGGGAAAGGTTAAACAAGAGAAATGGAGTAGGAGAACAGAGATTAGTGATGTGTGTGTGTGTATGTATATACACATAATGTACTGTATCGAGAGTATTTGTTCACTGCGCACTGCTTTGCCCGCTTAACATAGCTTGTTTTGTTGCCACAAAAATTAAATCTGTGAAAGCGTATCAGCATATTGAGACAAAATACGATATCTGATCGTGGTGCAGGCAGACATAGCCATAGGCCTAAACACAGTTTGTGCAAAATAATAGGATTAACTTCTAATTATTGGAGTTCCAGCTCGTTTTTTAACCAAACCTTATCTCAGCTCTGTCAATGCTTTTCTCTTTGACCTGTCTCCGTCTCCAGGATTACTTGCCTTGAAAGTTATGAGTACCTTAACTTGTTTTTCTGTCTGTCACCAGTGTATTTGACTACATTCAACTTTAACTACATTTTCTTTAACAGGCCATAAGCCAGTGAGCAAAGGTGACAGTAAACCATAACTACAAACGGCTCACTGATAAAGTGGTTTAATTTCAAATAGATGTCAATATCTTTAGTTTTGACTGTAATCATAAGCAAGAATTATTTTGTACAATAATTTGGTAAATTACATCAATTTTCAGTCTTAAATGGAAGTTGTTCAAAATGATTAAATGTCACAATTAAAAATACATGTTTTTACTTTCTACCATTGAATAATTTGATGCAGATGCAAAAAAGTATCCTATACCTAAACACTTCTAATATCTCCTATTTTTAACAGTACACACACACACACACACACACACACGCACACACACGCACACGCACACGCACACACACACGCACACACACACACACACACACACACACACACACACACACACACACACACACACACACACATTTCCTGGAGACTTATCCTAACCTTAACCATAACCAACACATGCCTAACCCTTAACCTTACCCTAACCCTAAACCTAACCAAGTCTTCACCCTAAAATTAATGATTCCCCTCATGGGACCTCCATTTTGTCCCCATAAGGGAGGCGAGTCCCCACACGTGACTGTGTAAACAGATTTAGGTCCCCACAAGTATAGTAATGCTAGGCCACACACACACACACACACACACACACACACACACACACACACACACACACACACACACACACGCAATCCACAATGTTAACTGATAACGAAGATAGTGTTAACAGAATTGTTGTTATTTTAATCATTTTCATAATTGCAGTAAATTCACTAATATTAACATAATAAATATTAAACTGCAGCATAATGACCCTAAATCTGCTTGTGTGTGCTATTTGTGTGTGATCTCATACAGTATGTGTGTGTGAATACGTGCTAACCTGCTTCCTTCACAGCAGTCCAGAATAAGTGTGCCAAGGCAGATGGCATCAGAGCTCTTTAGCCAGCTAACCTGAGCACGTGGCATTTTGCCTATATGGTCCAGCCACTCTGGCTTTTAGTGAGCAGTTAATGTAAAGTACCACTCAGCTACACTTTAAGACCTTGCATAAACCCATAAAGAAAGCAGCGATGAATTAGAGAATGCATTGTTTGAGTTTCTCAACCTTGTGATGAAAGCAAACAGATGGATGCAACTACACAAATAAGCAGGGGGGAAAACAGAGAGAGAACTGAAGAAAAGAGCTTTGAATGCAACCGAGAAAGAAGATTGTAGTAGGTTTACAATATGTTCCCGTACAGTATGTCTGTTCATTTCATTTAAAAGCATGTGTATGAGACAACGTTTTTGTTTTTAATGTAACATGTACCAAACTGTAACGCGTGATTCCTCACATTGTCTGCATGTGTCATAAACACAGGACCCCTACATTTAAGTATATACTGTCCCCTTGTACTCCTTTTAATTGGTTGATTCCTTGTTGTGTTGCAGTATCCTGGGGATGCATATCTTTGGCTGTAAGTTCAGTCTGAAGACGGAGGCAGGAGACACCGTGCCTGACAGGAAGAACTTTGACTCCCTGCTCTGGGCCATCGTCACTGTCTTCCAGGTACCAATGGGTTCTCACACAAAAACGTTGTCCTGCAACTTAATAACATTTGGTTGAACATGTGCTTACCTGCGGTCGTATACACTTTTGTGTGTGGGTATATAGTAATAAATGATGTTTATTTCCTGTAGATTCTGACTCAGGAGGACTGGAACATGGTGCTTTACAATGGGATGGCATCCACCTCGCCCTGTGCTGCTCTCTACTTCGTAGCTCTGATGACTTTTGGAAATTATGTGCTCTTCAATTTACTGGTTGCCATCCTGGTGGAGGGTTTTCAGGCTGAGGTGAGACATTGTTGTTGTTTTTGTTATTTGAAAAGGGTCAAGGTACATTAATCATTATTCAAACAAATGCAAGTTGAGCCAACTTAGCTTGAAGGCTGGTTTTCAGTGATTACAAGAAAACGTGGCTAGCTTTCTAACCGGCTTTGTAACATTGCAATGTAGGCTGAATGTTTAAATGAAACGAGTGCAAAACAGCTTTGCAATAGTCTTGCCGCCCGGTGATGCTGTAACAAAGCCTTTTACCCTTTAACAAAAACAATGTGATACAGGGAAAGCGAGCCTAATATGTCCTATATTTTTTTCGTTCTTTTGCTAAAAGACGTTACTGAATGTGTTCAAATATGTCATATGTCAACCCAGTCTGCCCCTTTTTTTCGTGTTGCACAGCACGATTTTAAAAGCAATGTATTTCTACTGCCTGCAGCACGTCTTTTTCTCCGGTCGGGTCGAGGAAGACCGGAAGCTGTGTGGTTCATAAAAACATGTTCTTACTCAATATCAAGCCACAGTTATTGCTTTTATTTGAAATCGTATAATTTCAGACTTTTGTTGCCGTCTGTGAGGAAAATAAATGGGGCTCAGAGCCTCAGGATACTGAAATCTGTATTTTTTAAATCTTTTTTTCCTTCTAATTTGTTATTCTTTTCAAAATAACACACTGTTATTTATTCACCAATAACACACAATTATCCTTGCTTTTATTTATTGGTTGAATTCCATAATCTCGGGCTTTTTTGGCGTCCGTCAGGAACTGCATTTCAAAATAAAAATAACCGGAAACAGACGTAGGCATTTCGAGCGATTACCCAAGATCCTCAGCTATGGTTTTAAGCTTGCTTATTGGATGTTTTAGCCGCAATGCATGCTGGGATTTGGTGTTTATATGATATGAAATCCGGAAAACATTTTAAAAGAACAAAAATAATACTTAATTCCGAGCGCTCTTGCTTTTCTCTTTGAAAGTCATCACATAACGGCATTGTAATACACGGTTCGGCTGCATTGTATATTACAGATCTGCCGTAGTTCTTTATTCTTTAGTTCCCTGATGAGAAGACCTTTGGAAAAACTGAGAAAATGCCGCCGAAACTGAATACTTGACGTGGATCATAAATATATTCAACAACTAAACAACATCTTCAATTTCTCTTCACACAATACGTCTCCTTGCAGAATCAACACTAATTCGGCTGACTTTTACATTTGATCTAATTCACAGATAGGTTATATTTACACCATAACGGTGCACAGCTGATATAAAAGGACTGTAGTTTTTAAAGATATTACTGATTTTCTTTGAATGTAAGAATGTAAATACTGAGTCTGAAATAGTATAGCAATATGCTGTAAAATTATGTGAAAGTATGCATAAAACTACACATCTTCAGATGTTGTACGAAAACACAAGTGTCCTACACTAATAATACAAAGTTATTATGGCTGTGTGTACCTTGTGTGCACCTCCTAGTGGTTAAAGCACGTTATTGAATTATTGTGTTTTATTTGATTAAAAAAATATTAAGAGTACATACTTTCATAGGGGGAAAAGTAGAAGATACTATAAGTGATCTCTACAATAAAACAGTTTAGTGCAGAATGTACAAAGATATTAATAGGAGGAGGTGCAAAACAGAAAAACGAATTAACCTTTATTTAAACATTAAATAACAGATTAAGGTCTTCTTTTAAATAAGAAAAAAACGTTGGGGGTATCTATCTACAGATAAATATTAAGCCTGACAAAGTACTTAACGTCTAATATATTGCTTTCCTGCAATGTTAACTATGTTGAAGCACTTATTTTAACTGATATTATACACATTAATTATACTCTTATGTAGATAGAATAAGAAATGTGCAGAATATGACAGTTTAATGGTGGAGGTTCACACATATTGATAGATGTCTTGTAATGCACTGTTGAGGAACCTGTGACCCAAGTGTTTCATTCATTGCATAACTACACCGTAGTTGTGTATATGATATGTCAATAAACCTTTGAAAAACTTGAAAGGGATGTGCAAAATAGCCATAATATACAGTCTTTAATTAACTATTAGTAGAGAATAACGAGTAATGAATATACGTTATTACTCGTTTCCATTCATGTCAATTGCAGATACATGTTTAGTCTTCTCAAGCACCAACTATCAAATATCTCTCCTGATTGTTGGCACTTGACAATCACCTTACCTGAATTTTACTCAGGTGTAACTAAAGTCTGATTTAAGGGTTGTTTATATTTCACATAATTAATCAGAATCTGCAAAGTAACTCAAATAAATGCAGTGGAGTAAAAATACCAGGTTAACCTCTGAATTGTAGTAGAATTACAAAGTAACAATGAGCTGTCATGTGGGTATTAATGCTGCGCATTATGGACACAAGCGATTTTCACCCATTTATTAATTATATGTTTTACATTTGATAACATCAATGTGTTTAATACTGGCAACTTCTAATTGTGGGAAAAACGAAAACGTTCAGTAGAGACGTCCCATAGAACATTTTGCGAAACACAATAGCCAGCATGTGTAGTTCTGGGGGGGGCGTTCGATTCCAGTTTTGGTCTGGTGTGGTTTCATTCCATTTCACACAGCTGTTTGACGCTATGCGTAACCTTACGGGGACTGTAGTCCTAAACGATAGCTGGGGATTATGGGTAGTGTAGTGTCTTCGGCCATCCTAAACTCAGAAACGTTGACAATCGCAATGATGCTCGAAATGTCTCTTATAGGCCTACGTCTGTTTCCGGTTATTTTTATTTTGAAAATCAGTTCCTGACGGACGCCAAAAAAGCCCGAGATTATGGAATTAAACCAATAAATAAAAGCAAGGATAATTGTGTGTTATTGGTGAGTAAATAACAGTGTGTTATTTTGAAAAGAATAACGAATTAGAAGGAAAAAAATATTTAAAAATACAGATTTCCGTATTCTGAGGCTCTGAGCCCCATTTATTTTCCTCACAGACATTACATTACATTACATTGCATTTAGCTGACGCTTTTGTCCAAAGCGACTTACAATAAGTACATTCGACCAGGAAGACACAACCTTGAAGAAAACAGAATCATATAAATACATCAGGTTTCATAGAGCCAAACATTTCAAGTGCTACTCAACTGGCTTTAGGTAAGCCAGTCCTTTATTAGTATAAAAGTGCTTCGTTAATAGTTCTAACGCTCGAAGTGGAGTCGAAAGAGATGAGTTTTCAGTTTGCGCCGGAAGATGTGCAAGCTATCTGCCGTCCTGATGTCAATGGGGAGCTCATTCCACCATCTTGGAGCCAGGATAGCAAACCCACGTGTTTTTGCCGATGGGAACTTGGGTCCCCCTCGCAGCGAGGGTGCAACGAGTCGTTTGGCTGATGCAGAGCGTAGTGCACGCGCTCGGGTGTACGGTTTAACCATGTCCTGGATGTAGGAAGGGCCAGATCCATTCGCAGCATGGTAAGCAAGCAACAGACGGCAACAAAAGTCCGAAATTATACGATTTCAAATAAAAGCAATAATTGTGGCTTGATATTGAGTAAGAACATGTTTTTATGAACCACACAGCTTCCGGTCTCCCACGACCCGACCGGAGAAAAAGACGTGCTGCAGGCAGTAGAAATACATTGCTTTCAAAATCGTGCTGTGCAACACGAAAAAAAGGGGCAAATCGTGTTGGTGAACACGAATCAATAGATTAAAAATCGTGTTGGTGAACACGAAATGCCGTGAGACTGGGTTGCATATGTTGTGTTATTCAACTGGTGGCTTGAAACATGTTCTTTGTTTTGCACAATTTAAGGAATGACTTCATGCATATTGAGAAAGCAAGTATATATTTGTCGTTATCCTGTATACATACTTGATTAACGGTATATATATATATATCCATCCATCCATCTTCTCCCGCTTATCCGTGGTCGGGTCGCGGGGGTAGCAGTTCCAGCAGAGAGCCCCAAACTTTCTTTTCCCTGGCGACATCAACCAGCTCTGACTGGGGGATCCCAAGGCGCTCCCAGGCCAGCGAAGAGATATAATCCCTCCACCTGGTCCTAGGTCTACCCCTTGGTCTCTTCCCAGCTGGACGTGCCTGGAACACCTCCCTAGGGAGGCGCCCAGGTGGCATTCTAACTAGGTGCCCGAACCACCTCAACTGGCTCCTTTCGACGCGAAGGAGGAGCGGCTCAACTCCGAGTCCCTCCCTGATGACCGAACTTCTCACCTTATCCCTAAGGGAGACACCAGCCACCCTGCGGAGAAAACCCATCTCGGCCGCTTGTATCCGCGATCTCGTTCTTTCGGTCATGAATATATATATATATATATATATATATATATATATATATATTCATGACCGAAAGAACGAGATATATATATATATATATATATATATATATATAAGCATTTCCTCCAATCCAACAATAAATTAGGAATATGATTGGTTGAATACTGAGCCTCCGTACAACTTCTCTTCATACATTTGTGTTTTAGAGCTAGATTTGATGAGTGAGAATAGGTAGACTTGGGAGTAAATAGCTCTTCAATTAGTTGGTAATAAGAAAGGGGCAAGTTGTCATTTAAATAAGTTTGTGATTTATCTCTTCCACTCACTTCTCCCTAATCTTCTCTCATGTCTCCTCTTCCTTTCTGTGCCCTCCCATCCCTCTTCATTTCTTCTTCGATGTCTTTAACTCTCTCATCAATGTATTTGATCCCACTTTCCTCGATACAGGGTGATGCAAACCGCTCTTTCTCGGACGACGACAGGTCTTCCTGTAATTTTGAGGAGAATGATAAGCAGAAAGACTCTCTTCATCTCTCAGGTATTAAATGCCTCCAGGAGCTTTACAGCATTTATTTTCTACTGACCTACACAGAATATATGACCTATTTTACATTAAATGTGAACTTTAAACTTGTATTAGAAGAGATCATTTTTGCATTAGATCAGATTTCAGTTCCCTTGCTCCTAGAATTATTATTTCACGTCTTTGCCTACTTCAGTCTGACTGCTAAAAGAGGTACCATCATATATGTGCTTCAATGTCGTGGTGTAACCAATCCCCCAGGCATTCAGCAAATCCAAAAAGCTATCAGCTGCTTTATTGTGCCTTGGGCTTTAAAACCGTAGCCTGTCATCCAATTTCCACAACACATATTGCTAACCATCTTTTTCCTGTCTGAAATGTAAGCTGCACAAGCTTTAAATAATGCATGCCTGATGCCACGTCTCCATCCACTCCTCTCCCCTCGTCTCCCTGTAGGCATAACAAAAGTGAACCCACCAAGAATAAGCCACTGAACCATGCTCCATAGAATAGCATTTAGCAGCACATTAGAGAGGCCTCTGCTGATGTCTGATCACAGCTCCCCTGACTCCCACTGTGCCTTTTTAAATGTACCTGAAGAAAGAGAAACACACGTTTGGAATGACAATGGTTCCTGGAGACCTATATTACACAAAGATATGTTTGAAAACAGACAAACCACTGGCAGAGATGTCTCTCTTCCATCATTACGAGCTCCTCTCTGGCTCCTCCAAGGTGATTTAGTGTAAATGAAACCTTCCTCTGCCTCTCTGTGCTGGCTATAACTTTGTTTAAGGACATTTATGTTGTAAAGTGATGGAACGTGCCATCTTTCCCCTTTCTTTACTCCATTCTCCTTCCTTCCCACAGACCCAAAGATCTGTACGCTGACTCCTAACGGGCACCTTGACTTGTCCCATGGTCTGTTTCCGGGAGAGAGGTTGACTTTCGCTCTGGACTCCAGGAAGAACAGTGTTAATTCTCTTGGTAGGGCCAACTTGGAGCAGAGGGCTTTGGTAAGTGGACTGTTGACTGCCATTGTGTTTTTATTTGGCTGAAACATAGTTGAGGGAATATTATAGGTTATGTCTCTTACGAGAATCATTTGCTGCTACAATATAATTACTGCTATGGACGTTATCTTTTAGGATTGGTTGGTGTATCTTTTTCCAGCGTGATTTCTGAAAATACTGCCCCTTTTTTATGAAACTTGGTGAAAGGATGGAGCATGGGCCAAATAAAAACCCATTAGATGTTTGAGCGTCCTGCCCTGCTCTTTCCGGGTCCCCTCCTAGTTCTGTGACTTGTTCTCGTCTTTCTCAGAATTACAGGACATGGAACAAACTCACTCTCTCTCTTTTTGTAGTTTTCAGGTCGAAGTTACCACAACTGGGGTCGCCCGTGTGCCCCCCACCCTCAGGCCTTGTGGGCCCGTCGCTCCAGCTGGAACAGCCTGGGAGGATGCCGGCCTTTCTCCTCCTCGTCTCCCTCCACTAGTCCGGCCATCACCACCACCTCTGCACGGCCCTTCTATGGCTACGGCCTGGGGGGTCTTGGCGGCGTGGTTGGAGGGAGTCTTCGTATCCGGGGTCCTCGTGCCTCCTCGTCCCCGCGGCGCCACCTCCACCATGTCCTCCAAGATGAGGAGGAGTCTCTCATATCTCCTCCCCCTATTCCTCTTCACTCCCTGCACCTTCCTCACCCTATGCTCCCGGGACACTTTGTACCCAGGAGGGACCGCAGGGCCCTTTCGCTAGAGCTGCCCCACCTGCTGCAGGTGCCAGGACCCCCGCACCCTCCACTGCCGCCACACCACCCTCTGCCCCCCTTGACGCTCCACGCTCAACACAGGAAGAAGAGCTTCTCTGGGGGGATGGTTATCAGTGGAGGCGGTGGCAGTGGACACGACAGTCTGGGGGGCTTAGTAGGGGTTCACCAAGATTGTAATGGGAAGACCCCTCTTTCTCAGCTTCTGCAGCCCCCCCACAGACACCACACTGAGCATGCTGGAGGGGTGAACCCCCAGAGCCAGCTGATGTCTGAAGTCTTCCCCCAGGTTAACACACGCAGCAAGGACCGGGAGGACCTGGATGATGACATTGAATATGTAAGTTACCCGAATAGTGCGTGTGGCAGGGAATTAAATGTTAATAGCATAAGGAAAAGCCTGGTGAGTAAGTGGAGCAAGGTTATGCAATCTTACAACATTCCTATAATACACAAAGTCCACAGATATAAGTATCCCTAAGATGGTGTGTGAGTAACGGCATCCAAAAAGAACAAAGACAAGAATCTAGTCTTGTGCTTCTCAATAAATGAACCATTAGCTTTGGTGTTAAAGTATAAGATCTTACACACACGGTAATCTCTCGCTCTCTTGTGTAGGATTTTCGAGTACTTTGTATAAAGCCTGCACTCCTCATCACCTGGGCCTCGTGGGACTCCTATTGCTTTCATTGTAAACAAGTCTGGGTATGAGAGAAACAAGGTTAATTAGAAAGGACTATTTAGACAGCGGGGGGGAGAGCTATACAGATGGTAATGTTGGAAGATGCTCCGAGCTGTTGTTATAGAAGTGTTTCACTTTCGTAAATAATTTAAATAATGGGTCTTAATGGGTAGTGTCTTCTCTCAATGTTGTTTGTCTTTGTGTGTTAGCTTTTGGATTTACATTGATTAAGCTATATTGGCTCTGCCATGATGTGAGGTGTTATGTTTGCGTTTTGCAGAGCTTGTGTTTCCGCGTCGAGAAGATGTTAGAAGCGTACAAACCGGACTGGTGTGAGTCCAGAGAGGAATGGTCTGTATTCCTGTTCTCTCCACGGAACAGGTGAGTCACTTTAATCCAATCTTTCTTTATCCTTTAGCCTCTCCCACTCCCCCCTCCCTCCCTACCATACGTCGACAATTGTCTTTTTAGGGAGGCAGCAAATCAGCAGTATATCCCCCATATAACTTGGGAACGTGAACATTATTTGAGGTGCAGCTTAACACTGTTTGTCAAGAGTTGCTGTTCATAAATCTGTGTATCTGTGTTTTGGTCGCTTATTCAAAGAAATGTGATATTTCTGAGTAGAGATTAAAATATTATGATCGAAGTATCTGACTGCCATTCTCAGGCTATATTATTTATTGTTAGGTATTGGGTTGATTCCATGATGTTATACAGATTTGGTAAAAGATTCAACCATTCTTGAAAACTTGAGAATTTTTTGAATAATGTCAAGAATCCCACAAAAAACACCAAGACCTAAAAAAACAGCACCAGTAGAGCTGGTATTAAAACAGCTCTAGTTTGTGTCTGTAAAGTAAACAGCTTATTGTCTAGAGAGAGAGGTCAAGTTTAAAAAAAGCACTTTGAATTGTCGCGTACAGAAAAGTGCTATATAAATAAACTTGCCTTGCCTTGCCTCACTACAATGAAGTGGTTACTGTTGTGGAAATAATTATCATAAGACGCCAATTAGTAACATACAGGACAAACCTTGATGTCTGTTTACCTTCTTTAAGGACACAGGCTGCTTAGCCAATAATGTTATTGTTCCCATTCTGTGACCGGTCAATACTGGGATACAGATGGTCTGTGTTGTGGGTACACTGGGACACTTCCTTCTCTGTATTTGTGGACTCCAAGGTAAAATCTTCGAGGTCATAAGTGTCCGAGGCAAGTAGCTCTGTGTTCCCACACTGTTTAGGCTATCTTCTCAAATATGTTGTTTACTCTCTGCGAAACCAGTTAGATGGGCTGGCAAGAGAGAGGCTCTCCAGAATTGACGTGGCAACTCTACCGTGAAGTCAGAACCTCTGACTCTTGGACTTGTGATGTGAATCCTCCGGCCGTTAACTCCAAATAAACCATCATGTGTTTGACATCAAAGCTACTGCTCTTCCCGTGTCTCCTTCCTGAGTCGGTGACTCCCACTGCATAGCTACACAGAAGTTTCCTCTACAGTTACTATGGGGACTAGAATAATCATGAATGTAATTTTGCTCATTGAATCTGAAAAGACTCTCAGCTTTCCATTCATACCCAATTTATACAATTATGACTGTTTAGGGACCCCAGTATCCAGAGACCTTTTATACATGTATACTATGTGACTGCCATTCTCAGGCTATATTATTTATTGTAAGTTATTCGGTTGATTCCAAAACTTGAGAATTTATTTTGAACGTGTCAAGAATACTTAATGCAAAAAACTGCACTTTGGAGCATTATTAAACGTCTTTCTGTCAAGCTAGTATGATTTGGTTCTAATGGGTGCCCTAGGTTATCTTGTTTTATATTACACCAGTATATTTACTCTAGCTTTAAATCTGAGCCAGCTATAGCCTCTGAAAGACTGTTGGCAGAAGAAGCTGCCATCTAGAGAGACTTGAAGAGGCTAATGAAAACGGTTGTACACACTGCATTTAGTGATTGTCTGCGTCAAGTGTGTGTTGACCCAACATACAGGCTGGTTTTAAGCCAAAGTGTGAACAGCCTGTAATACAATCATTATTATCTAGCCACAGGCTCATCAAAACAATATCAAGGATGGGTGGGCAGATTCCTTTCCCGCCTCATCGATAGGAAGGCCGGGTTGCCAAGCTTCCACAGAGTAGACTACATTCCACAATTGATCGACACCCTTGTAAAAAAAACTGTCATATTTCCTACCATCTCCCCTCCTGTTCGAGAGCAAGAAACAGACCCCGGGGGGGATATGGTACATTAAATACCATGGTCAATTCATTAAATTCTGCATTAACTTGTTGTGATGTTGTGTTACTGTCTGCAGTTTGGATGGAAACAGTTTTAATAAAAGCCATTTAAATGTTTGTTCCAACATACAATAACTTTTCTATTTAATTCATTCTGTATCTTTTCGTCGGTTCCAATCAACACAGCAAAGATATTTAATTGCTTCTTGGCAGAACGCAGCGTCAAATGTTAAAAAAATTCATGTTCAGTATCTCTTTCTCTCCCTTTCTCCTCGATTATCTCTCTCTTCTGTTCTCCCAGCAGAGCTCTGTTCTCAGGAGTGTGGTGCTTCTGAGAGTGTTGTTAATTTAATTTGTTTTGAATTAGTAGCGATGTAAACAGGGGCTGAATGAGGCTATTTACTCAACAAGATGTAAGAGCGCTCCCATTCACTGTCAGGGGACTCGGCTCCCATTCTCATTGGATGGAGATTGTGTTTTGACAGAGTGTGGCCTTACGTTAATGTATTGTCACCCCTAATTGTGTCTGTTAATTGTTGACTTAAATTGCATTTTATATGTGTGGGTTAAACTTTTCGGTTTCCTTTGTTTCTTCCTTTCTTCGACTTCAACACATTCCTCCTCTTCTCTCCTATCCTCTCTCCTCCTCTCCTCTCCTCTCTTCTCTCCTCTCTTCTCTCCTCTCCTCTCTCCTCTCTATCTCCTCTCCTCCTCTCCTCTCCTCTCCTCTCTTCTCCTCTCCTCTCCTCTCCTCTCCTCTCCTCTCTTCTCTTCTCCTCTCCTCTCCTCTCTGCTCCTCTCCTATCATCTCTCCTCTCTTCTCTCCTCTCCTCTCTCCTCTCTTATCTCCTTTCCTCTCCTCTCCTCTCCTCTCTCCTCTCTTATCTCCTCTCCTATCTTCTCCTCTCCTCTCCTTCTACTCCAGGTTCAGACAGATATGCCAGTCCATTGTCGCCCATAAGCTGTTTGACTATGTGGTGTTGGCCTTCATCTTCTCCAACTGCATCACAGTAGCTCTGGAGAGGCCTAAGATACTTCAGGGCAGCTTGGTAAATCCATCTGAAAAGTGTGTCTGTGCATGTGTGTCTAGAAGCTGTTGAGCTAGCCCTGGTTATTCTCTGGAGATAAACTCCATTTTATTATCTTAAAGGTGCAGAAAGTAACATTTAACAACCCCCAATTGCCCCATCTCATCTTTCTGACAACCTCTCTCATCCCCCTCCAGGAAAGAGTCTTCCTCACCATCTCCAACTACGTCTTTACTGCCATATTTGTGACCGAGATGACACTCAAGGTAACATTTTACAACCTGTCTCTGTATTTCTTCCAATGAGTCCTGGGTGTAGTTTAGAGGCGTCTTCTTTTGGTCTCTCACTGAATTGACTTTGCTTCAGTGCTCCCACAGCCCAACCCCTTCCCCGCTCCTTCTTTCCTTGCAATCCCCCCGTTCCTTTGGAGAATAGAGCAATCAAGCATTGTCATGAATTAGCAGCTAGGCTTTTTTGTATGGATGCAATACTTCTCCAGCACTCCCCCACACTCTCTCCATCCTCCTGTCCTCGCAGATGTTGACAGCTTCTTTATAAAGTTTGTGTTCCAACCTCCTTAGGGTCCCTCTGTTCTCTTCAGTCTTTTTTTTTCTTCCTGATCTTCCCGCAACCCTTCTGTCTTTTATATTCTCTCCCTCCCTCCGTTTGCCACTGTCTCTGTTTTCTCTGTGAAAGACTTTGGCACAAGTGGGCCATCAATTATGCACTCCCACAATCAATTATTAACCAATCACAGACCGTCAAAAAGCCACAGGGTTGTCAGCCCCCTGGCCGAGCCCTCCTCTGTCTGTCTGTCTGCGCCTCTCGTATCTCAGTAATGTGTGTTGCTGTGCGATTGTTTGTGTAGCATTAATCTCTCGGTACGACTCCTCCACTGAGGTTAGTGCTGCGTACAAGCTGCAGCCACATAAAAAGCTCAGCAGGGTTCATGATGTGTCAGCATGTTGCAAAACTTTTACAAGTGTTATTTTATGAGGCAGCTTCAGACACAAAGTAGCACTCTATTTATTGGAGTTCTACGACTAAGCAATGCTATGTCCGCATTATCGCTAAACTTTAACAATAATATATATTCAGAATTGTGAACACAACACATGCTTAGACATTTTGTACATTCAGTGTACATTTCGGCATTCAGCCCTAACATGTTTGCCACGCATTGATCTTTCCACCATCTTGATATGTTTGCATGCTAACCCCCACCGAGCCTCTGGGGCTTTACTAGACACTCGGCAAACAGATTCAAATGTCAGTTTCAGATTCTTGATGCTCCCACTGCTGCATAGGAAAATACCAGATTCAGCTGTGTGCATATGTATTACAATGCCTGCATAACATCAATATCACGCTCTCAAAGTCACAGAGGAGTAACGTACCATTGTCTGTCAAGTGGTGTTACTATAAAATGTTAACAAGCAAGCTTAAAGGCATTGGGACGTAAACACTGCAACACATATCACTGAACCAATGGATAGAACAACATAGATGGTGGTATTGTGGACACGCTATTGTGTGTAAATTGCATAACCATAGGTACCATTTTCCTAGAGTCTTCTTTTTTTCTAATTAATCTAATTTTCATTTTAGGAGTGTATTTGCGCATATTGTATGTGTCCATGTGTTTGGCAGATATAGTGTGTGTGTGTGTGTGTGTGTGTGTGTGTGTGTGTGTGTGTGTGTGTGTGTGTGTGTGTGTGTGTGTGTGTGTGTGTGTGTGTGTGTGTGTGTGTGTGTGTGTGTGTGTGTGTGTGTGTGTGTGTGTGTGTGTGTGTGTGTGTGTGTGTGTGTGTGTGTGTGTGTGTGTGTGTGTGTGTGTGTGTGTGTGTGTGTGTGTGTGTGTGTGTGTGTGTGTGTGTGTGTGTGTGTGTTACAGAGCTGAACAAGAAACCGACAGTCCATGTTCTTATATTCAGCCATACCTAACGTTCTCTCTTCAGGTGGTCTCCATGGGTCTGTATGTAGGGGATCATTCTTACCTGCGGAGCAGCTGGAACGTTCTGGATGGCTTCCTGGTTTTTGTGTCTTTGATTGACATTGTGGTTTCCATGGCGGGCGGGGCCAAGATCCTGGGTGTGCTCAGAGTGCTCAGGCTGCTAAGAACACTGCGTCCCCTCAGGTACAAATAATAATGAATAAGCAGTTTGCATCTGCTGATTTATAACGTTTTTTATGGTATGGTTTTTATGGACAGCTTAGTCCTTAATGAATCAAGATGTTTTTCCCACAACAAAATGACAGAAAAGCAATTATCTGTGCTGAAACAGATCACAAACAACATTTCTAAAGTTATTTAATAATCTCCACAGCAGACTGAAATGCAACAGTAATTAATCATTGATGTACTCTTCAAAAAATATGTTTGCTCTCCCATGAATAGTGCCGACGTTGAGCTAATTTGTTGAATTCTAACGCTATTAAATGAATACATTTAATTAGTTGGTTAATCTTATTCTCCTCTTACCGCTCTCCCCTCCTCAGAGTGATCAGCAGAGCTCCAGGTCTGAAGCTGGTGGTGGAGACCCTCATCACCTCCCTCAAACCCATCGGCAACATTGTCCTCATCTGTTGTGCATTCTTCATCATCTTTGGCATTCTTGGGGTCCAGGTAGGACAAAATGGCAGCTTTTATCTAATAATATGTAATCAAATGTATTATAAGTAAGGACATTGCTGAACTAGTCCAGGTGTATTTGTGTGTTTTCTACCCATTACTGTGAGTGTCTTTTATCATCTTAGCTTTGAGTGCACACATGCATTCCTGCCTAAAGTAAATCTCATTGTCACCCTGCTTCCTTTTCATCATAGCATCACTTTTTGTGCTGGTGCAATCTTTGACCGGCTCATTATTTCACTCAGGAGCTCCCTTTCATCTCATCACAGGAGCCTCTTAAAGCTTATTTTTCATGTGCAGTCAGACAGCATCAAAAGCGTGGTTTCATTTCTCTTCTTCTGACAGCTGTTTAAAGGCAAGTTCTTTTACTGCTTTGGCCCCGACGTCAAAAACATCACCAACAAGTCCGACTGTATGCTAGCCAACTACAAGTGGGTCCACCACAAGTACAACTTTGACAACCTGGGGCAGGTTTGTGTGACATTTCTGTTTATGCTGTGCAACAGGAAATAAGAAACAGGAAAGAAAATTGTCCATAAAATAATGATAAGAGTCTCCCTTTCTTTTCCTTTCCCTGCTGTTGTCCAGGCTCTGATGTCCCTGTTTGTGCTGGCCTCAAAGGACGGCTGGGTCAACATCATGTATCACGGCCTGGATGCTGTGGCTGTGGACCAACAGGTGCCCCATTTACATTTATATATACGTATATATCCATTTCTTGCACAATAATATCTTGCATTATATTTGTTATTTCCACATGTATATTTTCCACATGTATATATATATATTTTTACATTTTGTATGCTATTTATTTCTATTTCAGAAATATTTTGGACTGTTTATTTATAGTGTCTTAAGTCAAAAGTCAAAGTCAACTTTAATGTCAATCTTACATAGTTTGTGTTTACAGACAGAGAGATCAAAATGATGTTTCCAACAATCCCGAATATAAAATGATATAATATACAGATATGTATAAAAATATGTATAAAATATGTATATCTTATACAATCAACAGACACATTTACACATATGCACACATTAAGATAAAAAACACAACAATCAATACATACAAAATAATATGTACAAAATAACAGTCACTTCAATATCAATATCTTCGGTGCAAGATTGTCCATAGAATGTGCATTAATTTATTAATATCTCTTGTGTACATTGCCTTGTTTTTTATGCTGCTGCAACGCAAACGTTTCCCAAATTGGGATCAATAAAGTATTAATCTATCTAGTAATCTATCTATATATCTATATAGCTAATGTAAACAAAAAACCTGAGGCACATCTTCACCATCCAAAGAGTACATCACGTAACATCTGTTTTCCTTTCCCTTTCTTTCTCTGTTTATCAATTTAAATCTTGAAAAAAACGCATCGATTCAACTCCAGCCTGTGACCAACAACAATCCGTGGATGCTGCTGTATTTCATCTCCTTCCTGCTTATTGTTAGCTTCTTCGTCCTCAACATGTTTGTCGGTGTGGTTGTGGAGAATTTCCACAAGTGTCGCCAGAACCAGGAGGTGGAAGAGGCCAAAAGGCGTGAGGAGAAGCGTCAGCGGCGCATGGAAAAGAAGAGGAGAAGTATGACAGGAGAGGGAGCTGGGGGAAAACAGAGGCTTATTAAGAGCTGGTGGACAGAAAAAGAATGATACAAAAGATTGGTACAGTAATTAAGAAAGGAGAGGCAGGATGGATTTCTGGAGAATGTATGAAGATTATGAACACTACAAAGCCTGAAACAAGGGCTTGAAGAACTCTCTGTAGTTACAATGACACATCATAAGAATCACTTTCTATTAGCATGCAGAGCTGTGATTAACGCTGATGAAATGATGTGCTGTTGAGAGGAAAAGAGATGGAATTAGGGACAGACAGATTATAATAAACAAACAGTAATTGTCTTAATTGCTGTTGGTTTTTCTCGGAGTGATTCCAGCTTGGTCAAAGCTAATTTTGCAATCGCAAGCTCTCATTGGAGCAGCTCTCTAATTTAGTTTCAAGTAGGAAGAGAGGCAGTTTGTTTGAATGTTGCTTCAATATTAGTTATTTAGTTATAGCTTGAAGGTTTGCCTGATTACCAAAAGTAGTTGGAATAGATTTTATTTTTGTAAACTAATGGATTAAGTTGCTAATTACAAACATTGCTATGTAATTTGTTTCGGTGATTACATTTCAAAGCAAGCTGACCAAAGCCTGGCTGTATAGCATATCTACTTTATATCACTGCAGGGAAAACGAAATATTTAAATAACACAATCATCTTTTTTATTTTTATTATTCTACTATTTCATTATTAGTACAGACAATTCATACATCGGACAAAAGGTGAAGAAGCGGGAGGGCAGAAAGCATAGTTTATACAGAAAATAGCGCTTCTGTTAGTCATCCAGTTGCAGGATAAAGAAAAAAAGATAAATCTGAAGATACCCTCTTTAAAATGTAAATTCGATTGAATATATTTAAAAACCTGTTGATATATTGTTCTGCCAACAGAAGCCCAGAAGCTGCCCTACTTTGCCAGCTACGGCCACATACGCCTGATGATCCACACACTGTGCACAAACCACTACCTGGACCTCATCATCACCTTCATTATCGCCATCAACGTCATCACCATGTCCTTAGAGCACTACGATCAACCTCGTGTAAGCTATAGAGAGCTGTAATTCATGTGGTTGTCTATGAAAACAATTGGTGTGTCTTGTTTAGGGAGTGCAGCAGCTGGCGCTGGTCCACTAGAGTAGTTATGTGTGTGGGTGATAAATGAGGAGAAGCAACTTGAATTTATGTCAGTAATTAGAGATTTGTGCAACTTAGCTCTGACTTTCACAAAAGTGCCTGTTTCACAAAATGTCGACACAAACAGAAGGACTCCAACAAGCTCCATCTCAGTAGACGGAACTTATTCCTGGATTTTATGCCGAGTATTAATTTCTGTCAAACAGCAGCTTCTTATAAAGACACAGTGGTACCACCATGAAGCTGTAACCAGGCCGTGTTAGCTGGAGTCCATACAAAGGAGCTGTGATTGCACTGTTGATTCTATTCTGTCAGAGCGGTGTTAGCTGTACGCCTATCTGTCCATTCATGTGTGATGAATGAAGGTTCAAAAGCCTGATAGCGTTGGTTGTGTTTTTTTTTTAGGGTGAGGAAAATGATTATCCTTGAGATAAGATGGCCGTTTGACATTTAAAATGGAGCAAGCTTTCTCAAACTGACCGAGCAGCAGATAAATATCACAGGTCTTGACGGTATTTGTCAGCTGTTTGTGTTGACATTTGCCTGCCTCCCGCTTCTTAGAAGACACAGCTCTATTTATTGAAGGAGAAAACAGCCGAGCTAAACAAATCCACAGCCTCTGCAGTAACAGGAAGCTGGGCTGGGTGTTTAAGATAATTAAACATGCTTGCCTTTAGACTATTTAAATGCTACGCTAAAATATGGTTGGTGTATTTGTTACTGGATGTAATGTTTGTTGTTCCACGAAATGGAAGATGTCCCGTTTTGCCTTCTGGCATGTTTGATTGTACTCTGCAAACAAATGGGAACTATTCCTGTTCTTCGGTTTCCTCCTGAAGCTAATACTCCATCCTACCCTGTTTACACACACACACACACACACACACACACACACACACACACACACACACACACACACACACACACACACACACACACACACACCTTTTTCACACTCTCTTTCCAGTCTCTGGATCTCGCCCTGAAGTACTGCAACTATTTCTTCACTTCCATGTTTGTGCTCGAATCGGCACTCAAACTCACCGCCTTCGGCTTCCGTCGCTTCTTTAAAGAAAGGTACAGTGTGTGTGTGTGTGTGTGTGTGTGTGTGTGTGTGTGTGTGTGTGTGTGTGTGTGTGTGTGTGTGTGTGTGTGTGTGTGTGTGTGTGTGTGTGTGTGTGTGTGTGTGTGTGTGTGTGTGTGTGTGTGTGTGTGTGTGTGTGTGTGTGTGTGTGTGTGTGTGTGTGTGTGTGTGTGTGTGTGTGTGTGTGTGTGTGTGTGTGTGTGTGTGTGTGTGTGTGTGTGTGTGTCCTTTGCTGTGTGCCTATAAGTGTATGTACGTGCTTATTTGTAGTACTCTGTATTTACATATGTATAGTAAGAATACAAGACAGCTTTTTTATAGCAATACTTATCAATTAATTGTGGGATTTGTAACTCTTGCAGAGGTGACGGTGCGTGATGATTGTCAATCAGCTTTCCTATTGCCTGAAAACACAAATGCTCTGGATTAGATGCGAGAAAGAAGAATATTACAAAACAATATTCAATGTTAGCAAACAGGACAATATCTCCTGTTCAGCTCAGCTCACTCATCACATGTGTGATGTGGAAATGAAACATTGGAGCCACTGTCGGGGCTCCAGGCACATCCCATAATCTGGTGAATTAACGTCTGATATAAATAGTGCCATAATAAACAGTTATTTAGTTGAAAGAGTAATGGCTGCACAAATCCGCCTTTTGCTTTGATCATTATAAATGGAATAGGGAATAACAGCGTTGACGATACAGAGGATTATGAAACACGTTGAAACATGTGAGCGGCTCTGAGGCGTTCAGATAGAACTTAGCTAAACCATATTGTGGTACAAATATCTTGACAGTTATCACACATTATTGTCCTCATTGTCACAGTAAGACACAAATGTTTGCAGCTTTCTTTCCATGTTTACGTTGTTTTCGCTCACCATCAAATCAGTTTTTCGTTCCCTTTTTTCGAAATGTACATCTTTCAAAATGGATCGGACAATCCTTTCTCCTTGTAAAAAGCTATTGAGTGAACTATAGCACCATTGTGCTTAAATAAACCAAGTTAGCTATGGGTTCTCTGCTTGTGACACTGCACTTTCCACTTCTCCAACTTACTGTACTCACCTTTGTTTGACCTTCGTGGGAAACGCACCTCAGCGCCGGCCTGTTCCCTCCCACATTCATTCACTCAGAGCCCAGAGACGAATTGATTTGTCACTCACTCAAATGTGCACAACGACGAGACGGATGTCTTGTTCTTCTCAGGGATATGTGGGGACTAATTCAAGTCAGATGAAGATTTGGAAGCATATATTACACTGATGGTAGTTTAATGTCATTGGCTTATTTTAGTTTTAGAGAAGAGAGAGAGTTAAGGTGGCGAACAGCGAGCGAGAAGAGGAGCGACGTGGAAGAGACGCATAATAAATAGGAGGGGAAGCTGGACTGATCAAAGACAAACAAGGAGGAAGACACATAAGTGATGAAATGGGAACGAGATGGGCGGATATAGGACACATTTATTGCACGGTTATCAGCTGGCACTTTGTCTCTTTTTATGTAGTGTTAGCAACAGCTGTGAGCAGTCATTGTGTGTCATTTATGGGCCGGGGTGACTCTCAGGCCAGCTGCAGAACTGGGTCAATGGAATAGCAGGTTACACACAAACACACTGCTACATGTGGCAATAACTGAGCTGCGGCTGGTGTAAGTGTGCAGTATATATAATGTATAGGTTTGTGTGACAGGCCAAAAAGTAATAAGGCAGCTGCGGAGATATGAAATTAAAATGTCAATTTAAATGAGCAACGGGTGCTTTTCTATCAGGTGAGCTGCTCTCTTTATGACTTTGATAAAGTAATAGAGCAGCATTGCATTGTAAATATGAACAAAGGCAGCTGTCATCCTCAGTTGACTGTATGGCTACATTCATAGAGGATGATACACTTTGCTTTTTTTCCCCTTATAAAAGTTGGATGAGTCCAGAAAGAAAAGGTGTCAAATGAAACAGACATATAGCCCCATTAACAGAGGGACATTATCATGTCTTGCGGGTTATTTCACTGTTGTCATTGGCATTTTAAATGAGATATTTTGGCAAGCATTCTGACAAATGAATCAGCAGTGCCAAATGTTTTAGCACTCAGTGTGCCTGGTGTTGCCACCCTGATGATTTCAAAAAAGACGTGTATCAGAATACCTTTATTAGTCCCACAGAGGGGACATTTGCAGCGTTACAGCAGGAAAGAGCCACAGACAGCTTAGTGTTGCATATCTTACATGCGTTAAAAAAAGTACTAAGTTATAATATAACAAACAATATGCTAAAAAAAAAGATAAAAAACTAAAAAAGTTACATCATTTTCAAAAATACAGATCAAACAAATTAAATCTACAAATCAAATCCTGTAGCAGTTCTTAGGATTTAGCAGCCCGGTATATATTACAGTTATTAAAGATGGCATATGTATATAAAGTATATATTGCACATAGTTTGACGGTATTTATCAGCAGCAAGTTACACAATTTACAAAATACAAGATACATACCTTGTAACAGTAACAAGGGTTTAGCAGCCAGGTATAAATTACAGTTATTAATGGCATATATATATTGCACATATAGCACATATTGCACAAAGTTGGTTTGTATTTAGCAGCAAGGGGTGTTATAGTCTGAGTTGTGGTGTGTGTAGGAGGGTCTACTAGGGGCAGTGCTGGTTGTAAAGTCTGACCGCTGCAGGAAGGAAGGACCTGCGGTATCTCTCCGTGAGACAGCAGGGGTGCAGCATCCTGTCGCTGAAGGAGCTGCACAGTGAGGACAGGGTGTCCTGGAGGGGGTGGGACACATTGTCCAGCAGGGAGGACAGCTTGGCTGCCATTCTCCTGTCTCCCACCACCTCCACAGTGTCCAGAGGACTCCCCAGGACAGAGCTGGCCTTCCTTACCAGTCTGTTCAGTCTCTTCCCGTCAGCAGCCGAGATGCTGCTGCCCCAGCAGGCCACACCATAGAAAATGGCTGACGCCACAACAGAGTCATAAAAAGTCTGAAGGAGTGCCCCCTGCACCCCGAAAGACCTCAGTCTCCTCAGCAGAAAGAGTCTGCTCTGTCCCTTCTTGTTCAGAGCAGCAGAATTATCAGTCCAGTACAGTTTATTGTTCAGATGAACACCCAGGTATTTGTAAGATTCCACAATCTCAATGTCCGCTACCTGGATGTTCACTGGTGTCGGGGGGGGCGTTTTGGCGCCGTCTGAAATCCACCACCAGCTTCTTTGTCTTCGCTGCGTTGAGCTGAAGGTGGTTCCTCTGGAGGTGGTTCCTCTGGCACCAGAGGGTGAAGTCCTGCGTCAGCTCCCTGTACTCCCTGTCGTCCTCGTTGGTGATGAGGCCAACGATGGCGGAGTCGTCAGAGAACTTCTGCAGGTGACAGGTTGCAGTGTTGTGGGTGAAGTCTGCAGTGTAGAGGGTGAAGAGAAACGGTGACATGTTGTGAACAATTATTGTTACAGTGGATGAAGGAGGTGGGGGTGGGGTGTCTAAAGTCAAAGATGAATCTTGATTGGGCCAAATTTGACCCCGAGTCTTCCCAGACCCGAACACCAAATTATACACTTTTTTTTTAAATTGTCAAAATCTGTTGTGTAGTGTTTATATAGCTGTTGTAGAGGATATCATGAAGCCTTGTTCCGTTAAAAAAAACTAGAGCGTAGTTATTATATAATTTTAACTTGAAACGGGTCACGGGAGACCCCAACACAGCATAAGGGTTAAAGGAGATGAAATTGCCTTAACATAACTGATAATAAATGCTTGTCTCGTTATTTAGTTAGGTCCAGAACCTTTTTTTACACAGCACTGACATGCCTAGAAACTTGTTTTTATACTTGCTTTGGTTTTTGTGTGTGGTGCCAAACCTTTTTGCATATTTACATGTGCATACTTTCTGTGTGTGTGTGAACACTAGGTGGAACCAGTTGGACCTCGCCATTGTGCTTCTGTCGGTGATGGGCATCACCCTGGAGGAAATCGATTTCAGTGCTGCCCTGCCCATCAACCCCACCATCATCCGGATCATGAGAGTACTGAGGATAGCCCGAGGTACAGTATACTACATGTGTGAAATATGTACACACATTCACTGAAAAGCAGGCATGTGCAAAGACCCGAGCTTAAGTTTCCTGAGCAACAGCCTATTTGCCCTTTGTATATCTGCGGGCCCAGGCTCACAAGTCCAAATGTCCTTTTAATTGTTTTCAGTGAAATGCATTTGAACCTTGATTTTGTCTTGTGTGTGTGTGTGTGTGTGTGTGTGTGGGTGTGGTGTGTGTGTGTGTGTGTGTGTGTGTGTGTGTGTGTGTGTGTGTGTGTGTGTGTGTGTGTGTGTGTGTGTGTGTGTGTGTGTGTGTGTGTGTGTGTGTGTGTGTGGTGTGTGTGTGTGTGTGTGTGTGTGTGTGTGTGTGTGTGTGTGTTCCATGGGAGAATAAATGAAGAACTGACCTTTATCCAGTTAAATGTTTCCCATTAAGCCTGTAATTGAACCTGAGGGATTTCCCCCTAACTGCCCACTCTCTCTCTCTATGTTTCTCTCTCTCTCTATCTCTCTCTCTCTCTCTCTCTCTCTATCTATATCTCTCTCTCTATCTCTCTCTCTATGTTTCTCTCTCTCTCTATCTCTCTCTCTCTATCTCTCTCTCTCTCTCTCTCTCTCTCTATATCTCTCTCTCTATGTCTCTCTCTCTCTCTCTATCTCTTTCTCACACACACAGTGCTGAAGCTGCTGAAGATGGCCACAGGGATGAGAGCCCTTTTGGATACGGTGGTCCAAGCCCTGCCTCAGGTACAGTGGACACACACTTACACACTGTCTCTGCCTCTTTGTTCCTCACAGACACACACAATCCCAGAGAGAGAGTTGGTCAGTCTCAGTCAATAGCCAGAGTAGCATGAGTCCTGCCGCCCCCCCCCCCCACCACCCTTTCTTTCTCTTTTGGCCTGGAGGCAACTCTAATAGTTGACTCATGCATGCCACATACTGGCTGACTGACACACACACACACACACACACACACACACACACACACACACACACACACACTGGCTTTGTCTTGTTTTCACTTTCAGCACCATGGAGAGTACCCTGACCCCCGCTGCGTCCGCAGTGTGTTAGAAACAGCGGGGGCTTCTTAACCCAGTCTATAGTTCAGTTGATGGTGAAGTGTTCACAGAGTCGGGCAGTCTCTAGGCCGTCCCAGATCGTTCCGGTGCACTGAAAGTTCAATTTGTGAACTTTGTGTGCCACTAGGGGAAAGGCCCCTAGTGACACAAAATTACATATTGTGCATTTAATGTAGACATTTGACTTTAAATACAGGCAGTTGTTTGGACAGACAGGTCATTTATGGACATGCAGGAACACAGCGTGACCCATTGACCATCAAAAGTGACATGAAGCAAACAAAGGGAAACAGGTGGTGTGGGGAAAGGAGGGCAGGCAGAGGTGAGGGGGAACAGGTTCGTTGTATTTCCTTTTTATTGATCCCCCTCTCATTAACACTGAGCCCTTTGCTTCATCCCAAGGGCATCTGGGAAGGTAATTACAACTGGGGCTAATTAAACAGTTCCAGGAGGTCTCGCTGTGTGTATGTGTGCATACTGAGGTGAGAGTGAAGGCATTACACCTGGCGAGAGATTAACCTGAGCTGATATCACCCTATATTTCACTGTGAAAAATGAAATGGCAAGCTTCCAACATTTCCTCATTACATCACATTGACAGTATTGACATTTCAACAAAGGCTTATGGGTACAGTTACGCAAGGGAACAGGTCATATTGGCATAGGAAGGCAGAAAGTATGAATAATCTTGGCAAGCACAGATAGATGTCTGCTAGAATAATAACTCATGAGATTAGACATGATGTGAATGCTTCACAAGTTCCACAAGTAATTCATATATTTAATATGCCATAGCAGGACATGGAGATGTAATGAGGGATCCATGCACTTAGACTAAATGGGGTAGAAAGCTTATCGGCTCATTGACATGTTAAGTGAAATGGCTTTGCTTTACAAAGACGTAGTCAAAATGTGATTTTACCTACATCAATGTCTATTATCCTCTCCTCTGCAACTGATGTGAAACGGCTGCAACCAGCATTCACTTACACTAATAGCCTATATCATGTTGGCTCTAAAGTGGAGACAGTTGTTTTATGTCTTCTCTGGAAATGGCTGAGAAACCACAGATGTGGAGATTTGTGCTATGGTAAGGCGTCCAAGCTATAACAAGTATTTGTTTTTAGCTTAAGAAATGGAGATACATCATTTCATTAATAGAAAATGGAATTGCAAACCTCTTCCTCTAGCAAAGGGAAAGTTATTCATCCCCATTGAATACACCATTAAATCCCTCTTGGCAAAACTTCTCAAAATGCATTCATCCTTATCCTGGATCTCATATTGACTCGTGTCATTATCAAGCACAGATTGTTGAGTACACCAGGCCTCAGCAATTACTTGGAGATGTACTTCTGGCAAACCATCCGTTTTAGAATTATTACAGTACTCCAAATGAAAGGTTATATGGCAATTACCTCTTATTACACTCAGTCCACAGAGACTCATCAGTGTGCGCTGCATGTAATGGCCCTCATTTGTCTACATTGAAAGGAAACTTTAGAAGTTTTCAAATGTAAATGCTACTTAATGTAGCATGCCTTTGATTTGTCCTCTTTCACCATGCCCTATAGCAGTTTCATTAAATGCAATACTGACCAGGTTAATCATATCAGGCAATGAGGGTTACAGCGTTTCAAATGTAAAGATTATTCTTACTGAGTCAGCTGATTTCCTTATGTTATCATTAAAGTGATTTATGAAGGAGAGATAAAACAAACAAAGATAAAACAACCTTGAGTGTAATAGAGAAATTATTACAACCCTGCTTGCTTCAAACAATATCTCATCATAAGCTATTCAATTAGCATTATTTGCGGTGCAACCTATGGGAAATGTCCTTAGATTTTGCCTTGTCATTATGTTTCTGCATTTTCCCTCAACCAACTCAACAACAGATTGGAACGGTCTTTCCCCTGAAAAGCAGGTGAAGTGAACCAAACCCTCTTTAGAGCACAGGCGTTATAATTATAGTAACTATTTGTCAGTGCGTTTGCTCATTCCCGGCGGAGCAGTGTTGTTAGTGGAGTGTTAAAGACAGTGAATAGGGGACTGGGTTTTGAATCCCTGTAATGGGATTAGATTTGGCCCTGAGTGCTTACCATCATCATCACCATTAGGTTATGGTAACAGAAGGTTGTTTAGTGGTGGAACCGAGCCAAGTCCCAAACCCCCAAACTCAGAAAATCCCAACAGCATCAGGGCTCCAGTTTATAAAAAGTCTCAGAGGAAATTGTGCCATGGTTTGCAGAACAAAGAAGAGTTTGAGAACAGCATGCTAGAAAGAGGTTTGACATTTTGAATGCACATTTGATAACCTGCTTACTTGTTTAAAAGTAGTACAATATGATCTTGAGTAATAATTAAAAATGATGTTCAATCGAGCATAGCAAGCAAGTCAATGGCTGATTTAGCACATTAGCAATGACTTGTTGATGTTTCTTGTTGTCTAATGCTGCTCACAAAGAACATGTCAAATTGTTTATAACATGTGCATGGTAAGATGTTCTCCTGTGTGTGTGTGTGGTGTGTGTGTGTGTGTGTGTGTGTGTGTGTGTGTGTGTGTGTGTGTGTGTGTGTGTGTGTGTGTGTGTGTGTGTGTGTGTGTGTGTGTGTGTGTGTGTGTGTGTGTGTGTGTGTGTGTGTGTGTGTGTGTGTGTGTGTGTGTGTGTGTGTGTGTGTGTGTGGTGTGTGTGTGTGTGTGTGTGTGTGTGTGTGTGTGTGTGTGTGTGTGTGTGTGTGTGTGTGTGTGTGTGTGTGTGTGTGTGTGTGTGTGTGTGTGTGTGTGTGTTGTGTTACAGGTGGGTAACCTGGGCCTGCTTTTCATGCTGCTGTTTTTCATCTACGCCGCCTTAGGAGTAGAGCTATTTGGAGAACTTGGTGAGTACTCGTCCAATCACGATGCTGACAAGAAATATGTCATTAAGCACAAATCTAAATTATAACAACGTTTTTGTTTTTCACTGCAAATCTATATATTATTTCCTTGATCTTTGGTAGTTTCTAGAAAGAGTCTATTAAAGGCTCAAGAGAACCAATGATGTTACATTTAGTTGTGATCAGACACATGTCACTAGCATAGGTACAACAAAGACACAATCACGTATTGACACTATTATGATACATTGATTTATTGTGAAATATGTATTTAAATATTTCAACCAACATTCTGTTTGGATAAATGATTAACAGCATTTTTGGACCAATTTTTCCTTAAACTTCTGAGAAATGTGTATTATGTGGTCATATACATAAACTCAGTCCACTTGTTTGATTAATCCTTCATCACATGTGGAAATGTTGAGAGGACAGGATAGCGCTGTAGTGGAAAAGCACATTTGCCACACATCATCACTGTCGGTGTGAGGCGGTTACAAAGCTTCAGAGTCTGATCCAGAGGGAAAATATAATTGTGACTTCCATATTCCGTGTACTCATTATAGTAAACTCAGCTCGTACACATCAAATCAAGAGGAGTTGTATTAACTTGATTATGAAAATCTCCTTATTTCCTCTCCATCTTGTATTCCCTTTCATCAGTTCTCCCTCCTGCAGTCAGACTGCCATTAGGGGATTCAACCCACTCTCCAGTATTCTGATACATAAGTGCTGTCCTAAAATATCCACATTGAAGTAAGAAGATATTTCTTCCGAACTGTCACATTTCCCTTGTGAGCTGCAGCTGCAGCCCGTGGCAACGATGCTTCCTATTGGAGCTTGGCAGGAAAAACGGATTAGTGGCAAATGCAAGTGTTGCTTCTTGAGGCCGTTGCAGAGATTATCTTGGGATATAAACTCAAAGACAAATAGAGTGTTTGGTCACGTTGCGACCGATTTGATAACAGACTTTTGTCTACACTGAGTTGGCTTGTTTAGACAGTCAGCTTAGCGTCAGAAATGGTGCTTGCCTCTGCGTTTTTTGGGAGCAGTGACATGTACAGTGTTATTCAAAATTCACAAATCTCTTCTTCTTTTGTCAACCCTTTCCCCCCTTCCTGTTCCATTTCCACTTTTTCTTTATCCTCTCACCTTTTGACATGATAACTTCTCCTCTTTCTACATCCACCCGTCCATCTAACTCTCATCCTCAGTATGCAACGAAGACTACCCATGTGAGGGAATGAGTCGTCACGCTACCTTTGAGAACTTTGGCATGGCCTTCCTTACCTTATTTCAAGTCTCCACGGGCGACAACTGGAATGGCATCATGAAGGTACGAAGTTACTTACTTATCATTTGTGTTTTAACAGGCATAATCAGAGCTTGAGAATACAGTGAAACAGAATCGATAAAATCCCTTTATCGACCAACACAGGGGAAATATACAAAGCAACAGGGACAATACAGATACAGACATCAAAACTAACTGTATTAAAAAAAGAGCCAACCACAAGTTAATTCAATTTTGAAAAGGGACGCATTCAAGGTAGGAAAAGATAAGCAGCAGTATTATAAATGTAAGTAGAACATGTAATGCAATACATCGTAACAACATATATTGCACGCTTTTATTTTACAACGTTGTTATAGTAGAAGTAGTGCAACAAAAAAGGAGTGGAAAGGTGGTGTGAGATAAGAGACACAGTCCTCCTTTACGTCTCTCATCTTCCACTCTAGTGATACCCACTGATGAAAAGCAAATGTGCTCGCTCAGCACCGGGAGAACAGATTTCCTTACTGATGGGCAGGGGAGTAACTGTGCCTCATCGCACACACATAAACACAAAACAACTATTTCCCCTGAACACACCGCTCTACCAGCAGCAGCAGCAGCGATCTCCACCATGCTCTCATGTAAGCTCCAAGGAGAAAAAATAGAGATTATAATGATGCATGTCGTAGGGCCATTAAACACACACTGCATACATAAAGGTACAGCGGATGGTAGCGGGCCATGAAGCAAACCAGCGGGCTACAGATGTTCCCTCTCTGAGTAAATCTCTGTCGTTTTCGCTGTCAAATTACTACCTGGGATGTGGGATAGGTAGATCTGCCGTGGTTTAGTGAAAGGCTGGTGAGGCAGAGTGGTAATTAGTGATGCAGCAATGATAGGAAAGAGGAAATAATGAGGGAGAGTGTAAGAAAGCAGTGGGGAGAAAAAGGAGGCACTGCCAAACTGTAATAAGAGGGAAGATGAGAGGATGGGAAGGGGCTTAAAGAACTGACCAGTTATGATTTATTTCCTCCAGAGGGTAAATTACAGCACAAATTGAAAAAAGGGGGGTGGTACAGCATCACGTGTGAGGGCAAGTGGAGATTTGGAAGAGGATTATGTGTAGAAACGAGATGGAAAAGGAGTGGAAGCAGAAGGAGATGCACAGTGTGTACATGTCATGCAAAATAGATAGGAAAGACCATCTTCAGCTCAGAGGGCTAACATTGTTATTTAAGGTCAGAGACTGGTTCAAATATGTGTTATTCCTCCAGATAGCACATGTCACTTTTATTCTACTTTGACCAAACTCTGCTGAGCGTGTAGAAAAATGCTAAAGACAGAAAAAAAAAGGCTGCTGTCGTTTTGCATAGAAGCAAAGCAATTAAGTGTATGATGATTTCACAAGTCGTCCTGAATACAAAGAGCCTTGTTAACATGAGCTTGAGGCAAGCCATTACCCTAAATGTACTTAACATATTTGTATATGAGCATGAATATTTATTCAGGCGTGTTTCGGCTAAGCTCACTGTATCGTAAGATGACATTTATAACCTGACTTATTTTTAGCTTGTTTTTTATTATTATTCAAGCAATGTAAATGTTAATAACTGTAATCTGTTGCAGGAACGCTGTATTCATTTAAATGTATTTTAAAGCTGGAGTGTGGCACTTTTGTATTTGAAAAGACTTTTACATATAAATGATTGTCCATTACATTGTAGCCCTTGTCAAATGAATCTACATAATATAACTTAGCGGAGGAAGCTCTCTATATTTTGCAGTATACAACACAACCAAACTCACCTCAAACATATGTACTAACTGAGTTTGTTGCATTTCCATTGCCAGCAGTAGCACTCTCCTAAAGTCCTTCCTCTAAACGCTGAGGTTTTTTATATGGTGCATCCGATTCAGAAACGTATCCTTCACAAGTTCTACACTCCAGATTGAATCTACTCCCGTTATTTTGTCCACTTCCTGTTTCTTCACAAAGTGTTATCCAAATAATGTGGTATTCCTTAATTCAGCGGTTCCCAACCTAGTGGGCCGCGAAGGCATTGCAAGTGGGCCGCCAAATCATTTGCAAAACAGCATGATTTGTGTGGAAACATTTAATTATTAAGATTTTTTTTTGTTTGAACCTCCTTTCCTTTCTCTTTCTTGATCCTCCTTAGCAACGGCCATTACAGTCCTTGACAACGGTCTGTACTACTGGATTGACATCAGAACATTATTTAGCCTCCGTAATGTTTATGGTTGAATGTGGGCCGCAACATTGTTTTAGATTCTTAAGTGGGCCCTGATTTGAAAAAGGTTGGGAACTGCTGCCTTAATGCTTACCTGTCTCCTTTAACACTCCTAACCAACCCGCCTTTTTCTCCCTCTTCTGCCTTTTTGGACAACAGGACACATTGCGGGAGTGCCCACCAGACCATGGCACTGATGTGGACTATGCCTGCAATCCTAGCCTTCAGTTTATCTCGCCCATGTACTTTGTCTCCTTCGTGCTCACCGCCCAGTTCGTGCTCATCAATGTGGTGGTGGCCGTGCTGATGAAGCACCTGGACGACTCCAACAAGGAGGCCCAAGAGGAGGCGGAGATGGATGCAGAAATTGAGCTGGAGCTGGCCCAGGGCACCCTCTGTTGCATGGGCGCCCCCAGCTGTGGGGGGGGGAAGGTGGACAAAGGACTTGGAGGCCCAGCAGGTGCAAAAGACAGAGGATGTGTGACCAGAGAGAGGGGGGAGGGGGTGAGGAAGATGAGACATTCAGCAGGCAGCACACACTCAGGAGCCTTCAACCTGCGGGACTCCAGCCTCAACCTGTACTCACCAGCACAAGTGAGTGTTTGTATTTCAGTACACATGTGTGTGGGAGAGAGTGTGATGATTTCTTTATGTTTGTTTCCATAAAGTTTCAAAGTCCTTTGTTGATGTGGGTGGGTGGGAGTGTGCGTGTGTGCAAGTAGGGATGTATCAAACCGATTTGCAGGATTGAATCCATTATTATGGATATGCATTGGCCATACAAGTCTTAATTGATTTATTTCAATTGTTTTCTGTTCTAATGTCCAAGATGTATACCAGCTATGGTTCTCCGGACGCTTAAAGTGGCCAGCACTTTTTTTATATAATGTCACATTAAGGTGACAATTAAATCATGTTCAATTGTTTAGCTTTCCTTCCCATGTGGATTATGCCTCAAATGTCTTTGTAATAAGAAAATACACAGAAAGCTTCCTGCATTGTCCAGTCTGACACTGGAACCAGGAACATTATATTTATAAAACATATACATACATTATAAATAGGAAATAGGACGCATTGCAGATTTTCTTGATGCCTAGAGATTCAGTTTTTCAATGAAAATAAACCAATATAAATGTCCTATAATTCCATTAGAGTTACTTTAATATGTTTAATGTAGACCCAGTGTGCAGCGGTATTATGTAGAATGATATGAGTTTTGTTCAGACGCAGTATCATGTTCCGCTCCTCTGGCTGCCTGTCAGTTAGCTTCTCTTACACGGTATCTATCAATGCCTTGCATCATGCAGAGAAAATTACATATTTGAGTCAAAAACTGGAAGAATACAAAAGAGGTCAACAATATGGCAGTAATTTCTGAGTCGTGTCTGGATGTGGCTGACGGGTGAGAGAGTGAAGATTTTTTTTCTTTTTGTGAAAATGACTGGCGACGACTTGCCGTGATTACACTCAGGCGTTTTATCAATCTCTTTGTAATATTCTTTTTCTACTTTTGTTTCTTTTCTTTTACACATCTTGTGAGGGAGGAAAGGGTGTGAGGAAGGTTAAACATCTACACAAAGAGAGGAGATACAAAGAAAAGAGAGATAAAAAGGAAAGAGACACCGAGCTGCGCCTTATTTGCAACGTTGAACAAGAGCAACATATTAAGAAATCTATTCATATGAAAGTAGATGGTCTCTCATTTCTACTCGCAGTCTGACAGCAGACGCACAAGCTTCCATTATGAAATAGCTCAAAATAGTCTGAGATATCCATCGCAGGAACACACATAAAGATGACCATCACCGGCTGCCGTGAAGAGTTCCTCACCTGTGTAGAGCTAAAGTGGCTGCATGGAGTATTTTTAGCTCAGCGTGACAAACGAATGTAATACAGACCATGGAGAAAACACTGGCAGACCCTCCTCCTCTCTCCCTATCCTCTCTCTCTATCTCCCCGCTGCATCCTCTGTCTCTCGAGTGATGCAATAAGAGGGGCCGTTGGCAGACCGATGCAATTTATTTAGAGCACGAAAGTGCCTGGGGTTGGTGTGTGTGTGTGGTGTGTAGTGTGTGTGGTGTGTTGTGTGTGTGTGTGTGTGTGTTGTGTGTGTGTGTGTGTGTGGTGTGTGTGTGTGTGTGTGTGTGTGTGGGTGTGTGGTGTGTGTGTGGTGTGTGTGTGTGTGTTGGTGTGGTGTGTGTGTGTGTGTGTGTGTGTGTGTGTGTGTGTGTGTGTGTGTGTGTGTGTGTGTGTGTGTGTGTGTGTGTGTGTGTGTGTGTGGTGTGTGTGTGTGTGTGTGGGTGTGTGTGTGTGCAGTCGAGAACTTGCGAGGAAGTTTACAGAAACCCAAAACTGTTTAAATCTGCTGTGCCGCTATTATTTGAATCTCAACATACTGTCCAAATATTACCAGCAGCATCTTTTTATGTAAATCAACTATTTTTCATATCACTCAGCAGTTTGTCCCTCCCTTCATGTGCACCTCAGAAAGATACAGCAATTATTTTGTTGACCGCAGTGAAAATGTTTTTGAAAGATTTAGAAGTGAGTGCTGGGTATTTTGGAAAAATGATTACACCTGGAGAAGTTAACAACACTCTGGAAATATTGGAAATGGATCCACCCTTGGATTTAAATTCTAAAGACTGTTTAATACTTGACTTTTGCAACTATTCAGAAATTACAGATATGCAGAATTGAATTGTCTATGCTATGAACGAATCTTCAAAGTGTGTAACTCTTTGTTCCAGCCCATGCTGCAACTAGAACATTCTATAATATGCCATAATACACTCTGAAAAAGTCATTTTCCGACTCTATGGTGAAACAGTAGTAATATATTGCACAGGGACTACAGGCGACACTGTAGGAAGTCGACACAGAGAGAGTAAGACAGGAGAGATAATAGCTGAGCCAGTGACAGTCAGATAGACGCAGTAATTAATTTCAGCTCTCTCCTCTCTCTCTCTCAACTCCCATTCCCTGTAGACGGGCCCATTGTTGTCCACTAATACAGTTATTAATGGAGGCCAGCACATAGGCCACCACAGTCAATCAAAAATATGTTTTTATATCAAGCTCCCCACCTTCACAGAATGTGTGTGTGTGTGTGTGTGTGTGTGTGTGTGTGTGTGTGTGTGTGTGTGTGTGTGTGTGTGTGTGTGTGTGTGTGTGTGTGTGTGTGTGTGTGTGTGTGTGTGTGTGTGTGTGTGTGTGTGTGTGTGTGTGTGTGTGTGTGTGTGTGGTGTGTGTGTGTGTGTGTGTGTGTGTGTGTGTGTGTGTGTGTGTGTGTGTGTGTGTGTGTGTGTGTGTGTGTGTGTGTGTGTGTGTGTGTGTGTGTGGTGTGTGAAAAAAATGCTCTTTTAATTTAAACACATGTGTTTAAGAGCTGGATATGGCAGCGTCAGCCGTACTGCCAGTTTGTCTTTTAATAAATTGTGGCAGTGCAACACTGTTTCATTAACCAGCACGGTGTAGGTATGTTTATATATAGCTGGGAGTACAGTTACTTATCTCTTGGATTTGTAGCCCCCTCAAAACACAAGCCATGAGTGATTGTAATATAACAGCATGAGTCAAAAATGTGTGTTTGCATAAGATATCTAAGTATAGTCCTGTAATCGGTGTTGTAGAAATGTGTTATGAAAATAGGCATGTGTGGGGATTGAAGAGGAGTGACCTTGTTTCACAGTATCTGTTGGGATATATCTGCTGATGTGATACAGTTATTTTGGCTGTTGTGAATGCGCCACAGGCACAATGCAAATAATACATTGTAAAATACGATGCCTGGCCAAGAAACACATAAATCACTCCTAAAAGTATATTCCTGTTGCAGTCAGTAGTTCTTTTTGTGCCAGATTGGTTTCTGAGAAAAAAAACAATCTGGCAGATGAGATTCAAGCAAGGAGGTATCATTTAAGTCACAGTAAAAACCCTGACGGATTCAGTCTAAATTGCTTTAAACCTAATAAAACCCAGAGCACAAAGCAAATGCTTAAATCTTAAATTGTTTCAATAAGGTATTGAACAGCCTAATTGAGGTGATATATCAAATGTAATTGCACCACTTGCAGTGCTGAAGGCTTTAATAGTAAAATGATGTGTTACTGGCTAATGATGGTTTGAATTCATATTATTGAGGAGTCTTTTTCAAAAGAGAGCAGTGTTTAGCCCTTAAGCCCGACAGATTATCAAAGAGGGATTCGTTGTGGTTTATTTGTACTTGATCTCTGACACAGAGAACACATTTGAGAAGCTTTCTTTTTCTTTTTCGGGGGAATCTTTGAAATTGTTCAATGTGAAATCTACATGTGTGGTGTGTATATGCATGTGTGACTGTGTGCATTTGTCTGTGAGTTCATAAAGTGTAACAGCATACCTGCGTGTGCACACTGACATAATTCTAACTCTTACGATGTTTATGCATTTCCCTGCGTGTTCTTTGTCCTCGCATGTCCGCATGTGCACCTGTTGGCACCTGCGTGCAATACTGGTCTGCTGGCCTGCGTCCCGTGTGTATGTGTCCGTGTGTATGTCTGTGTGTGGGTGTGTGTATGTGTTCCAGGAGAGCCAATGGCTGGACAGCGTATCTCTCTTGATCAAGGATTCACTGGAGGGGGAGATGCTGATGATCGACAACCTCTCCGGTTCTGTCTTCCACCATTATTCTTCTCCTCCACCCATCTGCAGAGATTGCAAGGGCCACCCACAAGAGGTACCACCATGACCTGAATACACACACACACACACACACACACACACACACACACACACACACACACACCTGTTGAGGCCAGTAACCCCAGATGTTAAATCCATCCTTGTGGTTTGAAGTTACAAAGAAAAACTGAACCATAAGCATCCATTTTTCTTTCCAAACAGTTGTCTGACACGACTATCCACAGTGCTATAAATAGACACACATTTTTAACATGATAATTTTTAGTGACAGTTTCTCCCCACTGAGTTTGACTGGACCCACCTGGGGGCCAATGTTGATCAAACATGTCAGAATCTCTACTGTAAGACACTTTGCTGCATTTAAATATACTTACACCTTAGAATATGAAACCTTTTTCTAATAAAAAAAAAACCCTGTGTTGGGTCAGGGCCATTTTAGCAACCATGTGGCTAGATGCTTTTATTACCCCTTTAACAATGTCATTTAAAAAATGCACCCAGGAACATTGTGTTTTTTTTTGGCTTGACAGCTGTGTTCAGTTAGAGAAAGAGGGCAGCACTTTCAGTCGTCCATAAAGCAGCCAGACTGAGATATCAACTGATTGCAGAGTACGCACCGTCTATTGGAAAACGACATGGTTAAGTTGCCGTGTTCAGTCAGGACATCTTACCAATGGCTCATAATTCAAAATATTCCAGGATTTTTAAGTCTCGTTTTATTCGAATGTTCAGTGGTGGGAAAGAACCGGGTCAGCTTTGAAGCTCCGAAATACATTAGTGCTGTCACAGATGTGAGGCACCCAAATCAGATTCTTGCTGTCAAATACATTTAAATTAAAAAATGTTCTTGACACAGATTTGTAGATGGAGCAATCATAGAAAATTGTGAAAAACTTGATTTTCAAAATGCTTTTACCCCTTTGCCTGAAAGTGGGACTGAATATGGAACATTCTAAGAGGTTTTGGTCCATTAAGCCTGATTCTGTCTTCTGAGATGTTTGGTAAACATAACCCCAGGTGTTGGATGAAAATAAAGTAGATGAACATTTTTAAATAGAGGATGAAATCTACTTTTCTTATACATAAATACACATATGTCAAAATATACAATAGACGCCAGTACACATACATGCACACACAGGATGTTTTTTTTACCAGTGTTTGTTGTGCAAAACCAATTTCTGCCTAAACCTGAATACACAAACTGACTCACATACAAGACAAACACTTTTTGGCACAAACACAACCATGATGTTTTGTTGCAGATTACATGCATGCATGCAGGGACACTCTCAGAAACATGCATTTGCTTGTACTTTCACTAACATACTCACAAAGGGCTTCATTCATTACACAATGCAGATTGTATGAAAAGTGAATCAACTGTAAAGGGCATCAACTACTGTATGTGTTATTATTTCACAGTATAACTCAGTATAAATTCATCATTATTGTGTATCAACTCTCCATACGTGCAGAAATGTGGATTAATGAGGCCCGTTGCATGCTGACACACATGCAGCCATCCCTGATTTGCATGCATGCACGCACTAACACTCAACTCCACTCGTGCTTGTATTTTGGGGTATTTTGTAAGCAGGAAATGCTGTATAAACCACACTGTTGAACTTACTATCCTGTGCCAGTGTTGTCCATCATAATGACAAAGTGCAGCGGGTCAGCTCAGAAGGAGCAATAACTGGGCTCTATACCTCCTCACCTGTCAGGCTGCTTTCTGCCTGTCTGCAGATGCTGTCAAACTATCAGTCTGTCCTACCTCTTTTACATGCTTCCTCTTTCCATGTGTCCCTTCGCCCCTCTGGCTTTCCCTTTGTTTATCTCTGATTTGCTGTATCTGATCCTGTACTGTTATCCTATAATTTCCCATGAACTTAACCATCAAACGTGCATGCTGTTAATTTATGTGTGGGAGATAGATCCTGTGTGGGTGCGTGTCATTTTTTAGACGGATGTTCTTTCACTTCTGTGTTATGTACAATGTTGTTGAGATTAAGCGGACAGGCAGACACAGCAGGACACCTGGGTGCAAAGTGTGCGTCAGGGGGAATATTCATAAAGTAGCTGCCTAATTAAGAGAGACTGACTGACTGATCTTAGTGTTCAGCGAACAGTTCAATGGATTACTGAAGGCTGTTTCCATTTGTTCAGTAGCTATCATACATTAGCATTAAACCACCATCCTTTCTCTGAGTGCCGTCATGGAAGGCGGCATCAGATTTTAGGAAGCTAAAACATATGTATTGACATCAGCAGAGCCTGCATTGGTCAGGCAAAAGATATCCCATAATGAGAGAACTGGGGTGCACAGTCGTATTGGCAGGTTAAAGAAATTAGAAGAAATGATTTGCAGAATATACTGGACTTTGTTTTGCTGTGTAGATGTTGTGTATTGTGTAACATACATGTATATTACTTAAAAGCAACTATGATACAAACATTGGAATACATATTACCAAATCATTTAAATCAGCTATGTTCAAGTGGTCAGCAGTGGTCTTTAGGTCGACCTGAAAGTTATAGACAGCAAACAGGACGATTTGGAGCTGCGCTTGTTTTTGCTCCTGTATGTTGTAGAAAATGATAATGTGACTGCTGGTGTAATTTGTTTAACATAAATGCTTATCGTGTCCACACTAGCATGCGTCAGTCAATGTGGCCCTCAGGCCCTGAGATATCAGTCAAGCTTGCTATTTTTGCCAACTCACTCTATCTTCTAGTATCATTGCCTCCCAGTGGCATTGATGAAAAAAAACCAATGCTTTTCCTTTTTCACTCTCAGGCTGCAATGGACATTTTCAATCGGGTCTTGCCTGAGTCCCATAGTGAAGCCTTTAATATCTCTGCAGTTACTCTGGAAGCAACTGTATAGCAACTCCCCCTGTATTCATCGTGCCTTTTTTCATTGTCCCCGGAGGCACAGTCAAGAACACGAGAAGTAGTTTCCATTAACTTTCAAAATAAATGTACCAACCAATGATTCCCATGGACCTTTTTCAAGCCATTTACAAGCCATTTACAAGCCAACTCTGAGACACACAGAGTAAATCAGCAGATAAGGCACTGCTACAGTAGGGAGAGGGCCGATGTACAGAAATAAAACAGACAAAGTGCTAAGTGCTCCTTTAAATTAATGAGTTGCATTACCTCTGCTTTGCTTCCTTGTCTCATTCCACCTCTCTCTCTTTCTCTATCTCTTTCTTCCCGCCCCCCCCCCCCCCCCTTTGGGCAATGGTAATTTACTGGTGCATATCAGCCATGAATCGTTCTCTATGAACCTCCTTTCCTTTCTCACCTACGGGTACGTGTTAATTTATCGCTAACAGGCCTCACTCCATTGGATTTCACTGGGCCCGTTTTAAGTACCCTTCTTAATTCTTCTCTCTGGCTATTTATTGCTCCGTCTCTTTAAAGAAAACACTGCTTGAGCTCATCATAGCACCCCCAGAACCCTGAATTCCACTCCAGCTCACTGTTTGCAGTATGTTTTGAAATGTGTGAACTTAAAGCGCTGCAAGGGGAAGGACAGGGGAAAAGCTCACAGGAGGCTTATGTCGCACGATTTTAAAACCCACTAGCCAAATGCTGAGCAAACCTAGCTGGAGGTGATGTTGAAGAAATGAGAGAGAGAGAGAGAAAGTAGTAACAGTTCGAGTAATTGTTGTCACTTCCTAATTTATTTGGTTTTTTTTCGTAAAGGTTGCTGTACATGTGTGAGAGTATTTCAAGGATTATGAAACGCCATTACACACAGCAAACTCATTTCAATGTACACCTGTGTTTGAAAACATACTCAGTCGGCTGTAGGGGTAGAATTATGAGGGTCTGGTGCAGCTACAACTTCACTCTTGACGGCCAGAAAGACATCTCTTCACTCTCACTTACATGTACATGCACACACACCTGCTGTGTACGCACTGCTTGGATATCTGCCTCTCGCCGCTCATTCAGCCTCTCTCTCTTCACAAATGTTGCTCAATGAATGATGACAAAGCAATGTTGTTATTTTTTTTAAATCTCTCACCTTGCTCTCTTTACAAACAGGTGCCTCGGCATTTTGGCCACTTTGAATTGTCAACATCTGGTGAAGCATATCGAAACTTGGCGGAGGTTTTACCTATTTTGTCTGTGTAGCTCATATGGGCCTATAGGAATATCTCTATGTAAACCATAAATGAATAATGAGAGACATCTTCAAAACAGTGTTGCTGATCCTTTAGAATTGTAATATCTCTGTATAAAAAGATATAACTAAGATACTGAGGTCAGTCATGGTTGTTGTGAACAATAGAATACATCATGCAATATATTTAGCACTGATAAGACAATGCACTATTAATTCCAGGAAGTCTCAAATGTTTGCTGCTCCTATTTCCCATCCCTTCCCGTCTTAAGACATGAATAACAGAGGTAACTTTTTGCAGCAGATCAGGATGGCAGAGATTGAGCAGGCATCCCTGAAGTCAGAGCAAATGTCAGACAAGTCTTCGTCCCCCGCCCTGCCAGATGACCTCAGCCTGGACGAACACACCTCCTATCAGCTGCTGCCGCAAGAGTGCAAGGTGGGTGTGAGCAGAGTGGGGGGGAGAGGGGGGATTTTTCCAGACGGCCATAACTGCCTTAGATAACACAAGTGAGAGCAACACATCGGACATTTTAATTGAAACATAAAAACACATTGTATTCATACGCCTTGAGATTTATTAACATAATAATATGTTTTATTGATCATTTTGCTTTGTGGCGATTGCAGGACGGATTTAAATGGCCCTTGGGCCTTTTGTAGCATATGTGTGCCTCAGGCCTTGAAAAGTACTGAGTACTAATAATTATATATACGCATATCCCCAGGACTCATTAACGAATGAAAAAAAGACATTGCAAGGTAATTAAAATGTTGTTAGATCCCATTTTTTTAAAGTGGTAATAATAAAGATTTAGTTTTATTGCCTTGCCCAGTAGTTGCTATTCATGCTGCTTGGATAGAAATCCTGCTATAATGATGTTCATTCCAGTAACACCTCGCAGGGAGTGATTAGTGACTATGTGACCTATAGAGCCAGGGACTGAACATCTACTTTAATGTCAGCACCTGGTTTATTTAGTTGGGCTGCATACCTGCTTGTCAGATCTTCTCAAAAAGTCTTTTTGTGTTAAAAAATAAAAGTAAAGTTTTAGATCAAGAAAAAGCTGCAGTAACCACTCTCATAACAATGCATCCTCATTTCACTTATAGTATGCCCACTAGTTTGTACTTGACATGGTACTTTGTCCTATTGCTCCCAAAGGGTGAACACAAACAACAGTATTTTCTATCCGATAATTAGTTATATTTAATCAAGGAAGCACAAAACAAATGACCATAATAAAACCTTTGGCTAGCTATGCTGTGCTGTGCTATGCTATCCTGTGAATTACAGTCCAAACCTTTGGTTCCAGAGACCCCTTTATCTCTTTCTCTGTGTATCAGTGGTTACTATCTTGTCTTTGAAGAATCCACAGTCTCGGCTCATGAATAAAACTAGGCTCTCCCTAGTGGCTGTCCTGGGTGGCTCTCTTGCCTCCATCTCTTACACCCACTCTCCCCATTTCCACTTTATCGTGCATGCTTCTACTCTCCCAGCGTTGCCCCTCTGGTAATTGCACACCTTCTCTGCACCTCCCTCTAGCCCCTCTATCTCTTTTCCTTATCGTCCGTCCTTCCTAGATATCCTCCACTGTAATGGGGTAATGCTGCTTGGTGAGGATAGCCAGATAAACCTGCAATCGCCAAGCATGGCTGTGAACCAATGCTCATTAGAGAAAGGGGGATAGGAAAATAGATAAGAGGGAAAGGCAAAAAGTGAGGCAGGATCTAAGGTTAGGGATTGTATATGTCAAACATTGTTTGGCAAAAAAGATTGTGTGTGCAAAGGTTGTTTGAGGTGTGTTTGGGTGTGGGTGGCTGTCTACTTGAAAGGGGGCTGTTCAGTGGCTAGGACTGAACAACTCCGAGATACAATACACTAGTGGGAGCACAAAAGAGTACCCTCACACACACTCCTGTGCACGAACACGCACAAATGATTCTGCAGTCCCTTCATGATGGTAATTAAAATGTACGAGGTAATCTTACAAATCTGAACTGCCCTAATCTACCTCCTGCTTCCACTTCCAGCTGTTGCTGCCATCACACACAGGCACATTTATATCCAAACATTTATTGTCACGATATTTAAAATTAACATGTCAATTACAGGCTCTTTCAGCTCATAATCAGTCCTCACCGCTTCCCTAGCACTTACAGGAAACACCAGAGGGGTGATGTGAATAAGAGGCCATGTTTGATATCGGCAAGATGCCAAAGGGTCTTCTTTCTTCTATTCCACATTTTCTATCAGGCTTCTTCGAGCAATTATCACAAACATAATGCTAATCCTTAACTTGTCTTGTCCTTTTGCAGAAGGAAAAAGAGCTAAAGGCTAATACAAGCTATGCTAATGACTATAAGCCCAAGCATGTCTATGTGTTTTCCCCTACATCTCCAATGTGTTTTCTTTAATAAATTGAGTAAAAGTCCACACCTACTGGATTAACCTCTCCTGTAGATGAATTGGAAAGTACTTTCTTTAATGTCAGCTCATCTGTTTTCTTCCAGGGAAGGTGCAGCAGTGACTCCCGTAGCTCTGATGAGGCTGGAGGGGGGGGGAGTCATGCAGGAGGCCCCCCCACCCAGACGGTGGTGCAGAGCCTGGGCCAGCCCTGCAGGCCCCTCATCGCTGGGATTGATGTGGAGACTGCAATACAGGAGATGGAGATGCAAACACATCGACCACACACATGCACTCCTCACCGTAGCCCTGGTGAGTAAAACCAGATATTAATAAATATACATTAAAATATTTCAGTATTTTTACTCTACTACCAAGCTGATTTTCAAAGGAATCTATTAATGATAAATGGATTGAAATATGCTTTTGTACCAGCAAATAACATCCATTTCTATTAAATGTCTTGCTTGGTTTTTGTGCAGCTTACAATATGTTCCAATTTCGGTGATGAGTGACATTTGGAAGACATATTTTTAGCAAAGATTTTCTCTGGTGAATATTAAAGAAAAACACAAAATAGTTTTTTAGGAGGTGGTGGAGCTTTGTATACCAAATAGAATCACAAATAATAGATACCCACTTCTCATTAAAACCTCAACAAATATCTAAAATCAGTAAAAAAAAACTTTCAGAAGGAGGCACTTGGGTATGTGATTAGACTGATATATGGGACGAATACTCTTATGCTGTGGCTTTAAAAAGGACAGTGACATGATTAACATAAACTGACACCGCGATAAAAATGGAAAGAGTGTCGTCGTCATCCCCCCCCCCCCCCCCCCCAGGTGGCGTTTCCAGAAGCAGCAACCAGGAAAGAAACGGAGAAGGTGGAGGAGGAGCGAGTGGCGTGTCTCCTCTCTTTCATCTGCCTGCAGAGTTCTTCCACCCCGCAGTAGCAGCCATCCCAGCACCCCCCCGCAGCAGGAGCCTACGGCTGACCAGGGGCCTCAGGCTGACCTCCCCTGCCTCCTGGGCCTCACTCCGCTCCCCAGGGGCCCACAGCAAGATGCTCTGCACACAGGTAAGACGAGAGGAGGTTAGAAAACACTAAAGAGGATGAAGATATTGTGAGGTTTTATCGACGTAGAGGCTTGAGTCATTACAGTAGATTGCTGTTAATGGTGAAGCAAAAACAAAAAGATGAGGAGGAGAAATTACCTGACAACAGATTATGCTTTATCCAATATTATGATGAAAAACTGCATGGTTTAAGAGTCAGTTTATAACTATTATTGTGTGCTCTGTTAAAATAATATGTATTACTGGTTAAACATTTGTGCTTCACTTTATTTTGTCTCCTTTCCACCTCCTGTCTTCAGTACCCATCCCACAGTGACTCGTCCCTTGCTACAGGCAGCTCTGAGGGCAGCCTCCAGACCACCCTGGAAGAGGGCCTGAGCTTCAGCATCTCCCCACCACAGAACTTGGAGTTGTCTTTGCCGATAGCTCCCTTACCACTCGTGTGCCCCCTCCCGCTGCCTGAAGACAGTACCGCCATCTTCTCCCCGGTCCAGACCCTGAGACCGCGGCCCACCCCCTCGTCGGCCCTCACCCTCCTGGCCACCAAGGGCCACCAGCGGAGCCAGAGCAGCGGCCGAGGGAGCACCAGCCCGGGCTACACCCGGGACGACTCCATCGACCCTTCAGACGAGGACCTGGGCATAGGTATTGGGTCGTCCATTGGGGGCTGTGGCTCCAGCCAAGCGGGCAACAGTGAACATTTGTCAGAGACGCTGAGCAGCTTGTCTCTCACATCCCTGCTGTCCCCCAGCTCCCTGGTGTACCCGGGGGTAGCGGTGAAGAAGTGCAACAGCACAGGCAGCCTGGACCAAGGGGGGATGCTGCTGTCGTCCCGGGGCAGGGAGGGCCGCCGGGAGATTCTGGGACTGGAGCTTATGGACCCCCAAGGCTTTTTGGCCAACCCTTGGACGGGGGTATTGGTGGATACAAGAGGAGAAGGAAGAGGGGAAATAGTAGATGGTCAGCAAGGGTTCAAAGTGAAGAGCTCAAGCCAAACAACAATAGGGCCTTGTCGGGAAAACAGATGAAACCTACTGTTCACTCTCTCTTTGTCTCTCCATTCCTTGGATCTAAACCCATAGCTGTCCCTCTCAATCTCTCTGCTTCCATCAGTGAGAGAGAGGCTTGATGACACACGATGTCCCGTATTCCAAAACCAAACCCTCATCTTGCCCCCTCAACCCCTTTCTATACATTTGTGACAAGCCCAAGTCCTATTTTGTGCTACCTAGAGTACTGGTCTTGGTTAGGCGACGAAGGGGCCTGGCGAAGTAAAGGCCCATGGGCTTAACTTGAAGGGGTAGACATGGAAGGTTCTGCTCACATTGGAAGACCAGGAGACCCATTTGTATCAGGGAGTCAGTAGAAGCAGAGACGAAAGAGCTTTAACTCGAAGACACAACGAGAGAGTTGCTCTACTGTAATTTTCTTTTCCTGGTGTCAGTTTGGGATCGCTGAGGTCGAAAATGCAAAAATAGAAGTACCCAAACTGAAAATAGCTCTCCATGCCAACACAGACTGTTTGGGATTGTTTATGTTTCAGAGGCAGTGCAGTAAGTAAGTGGGAGGAGGCTCGGAAGTGGCAGAATATTTTAAGGCGGAAGGAAGGCTGGCATAGGAGAAGGCAGGTCATTTGTTTGGCTGGGAATGCAGCAAGCGGATCTAATGTCCATCTGTTCTGGCAGACGGAAACAACAGGTCCTACTCTCTCTGGACCTTCTGCTGAGTTCAGAGTAAAAATGCAAGGTAGAGGACAGTTCAAGAGTGAGTGCTAATAGCGTGAGTGAGAGCACTGCCTCAGGTATCCAAGGCATGAATTAGATTATTCTCAACACTTCACCATACCTCTGTATTTTTGAAACAGGAGATGGGCATCGACTGATCAAAGCTTTGTGCCTCTGTTAACTTGAGTGGCAGCGGAAAATGAAAATAAATTGACAGATTGCGGACGTGCATGGAGCTATTCGTGAAATTGGTTATTTTTGCTCTCTATCTCCAGCATATCACACTCACTCAAACATGAAGAAATTAGTCTGAATGAGAGCCAGGTTGGATGGAGCTTTACAAACCCCATCAGAAGAAACAATAACGCGTGCATGGGGCAGCCTTTTGTGGACCAAAATGGTTCACAGTTTGACAATAAAGTGAGTCTTGAAGCACACTCCTTTTTCACTTCCTCTCACCATGCTTAAGGATTTGAGACGAATGGACAAACCCCACAAGAGTTGCGAGGGACGTGGACTGCATGAGGGAATTGCATTTAACCAAGATTTTTACCTATATACAGAAGTGTATCAAGATGTCAGTGTTGGGTGATAACCATGTGATTTCTATTCCACTATTTTTGTAGAAAAAGTGAATAGGCACGTGCAAGTGTTGCCGTTACTTAATCCCTATTTCATTTAACCCATACGATCTCTTTAACTTGTTGTCTAGGACTTTTTGTCTGCCAGTGGCTTCCAGTTTTATAACATTTTTTAAAGTGTGGACGGTGTATAAAACAACGAAGCAAAAAATGTCAAATGAACTTTGTGCGCTGAAGACGTTGGAGTCCCAGGGGACAACCAGAGATGCGAACAGCCATATTCACTCAGCACATGAGGATCGTTCTAGCTCACAGACATTCCTTGCTGCACACAGGGAACTTTGTTTGCTTTTAGCCTCCTATGCTAAAAAAAAAGAAACCTTGAATAGCGGGAACCATCTCTATGAAAGCTTTAATTTGAGAGTGACTCCACAACATATCAATTATGGACACATTAGTGTTCTTTAAGCATGGTTCTGGGATTGCAATACAGTATGCTTTTTCTTGAAATGACCCTGATGCACTCATCTTCTCTTCCCCATCTCCTCACACATACAGTATGTTGTAGCAACCCTTACACACACACCATGTGTTTGTTATCAAAAACTGACACTGTAATAATGAACAAAACATTGCATCTTTTAATGCAAGCTTATTTTGCTTCTCGCTCCATCCCAAAAGGACATGCTCATATTTTAGCCTGATATTTAGAGGTAGACTGTTGTATCCCCAGTGTTTTGATCATTACCTTACTTTTTTACATTTCTCAAAAAAGAATTAGGTGATGTGAGAAAATCTGAGGGATTGACCTTTTGTACCATGCAGCAAAATCACTTTGATGACTATGGTTTATCACATGGTGTTAGGTATTCATGGGTGACAGTAAAGACAGGTGTGTGTGTGTGTGTGTGTGTGTGTGTGTGTGTGTGTGTGTGTGTGTGTGTGTGTGTGTGTGTGTGTGTGTGTGTGTGTGTGTGTGTGTGTGTGTGTGTGTGTGTGTGTGTGTGTGTGTGTGTGTGTTGTGTGTGTGTGTGTGTGTGTGTGTGTGTGTGTGTGTGTGTGTGTGTGTGTGTGTGTGTGTGTGTGTGTGTGTGTGTGTGTGTGTGTTTATGACTTCAGGTGAAGAGTTGCCTTTTCCTGAAGTCTCCCGTTTGTCAGTGAGAATCCCTGAGATTAAAGTTTTGATGAGGGAAAAACGCGAAGCAACCAAGGGCTGTTTTAGCTTCAAATATATATCCTAACAAATCCTTATGTCATATGGCATCAGAGGTTAAAGCCTGATTACGCAGCAATAAATGTTCTATGTGTATGCCCTGAGTAAATGATGTCAATGTGATTTTTATCTCCTCAGAACACAACAGTATTCATTACTGTCTGTTTTTGCATCTACTTGTCTGAAACAACAACCAATCAGATAGCACCTCTGCCCTCTCGAAGACCAATCAGTAGTGAGATGGGCTACAATTGGACGACATGAACAATTGACGTTATTGAACTCAGGTCGGGGGGTAAAAACCACTGGTACATTTTTAAAGATAGCTGTAAAGGTGTGCTCAGACTGAAATCGGAGAAAATGTTCAACTCGCTTTATTCGCACAAATGTTACTGCTGGAGTGTTTAACCACGCCTAACAGCCAATGCACCCAGAGTCCAGATGTTAGCTGAAACTACCTAACAGTGTGTGTGAGCAGAGTGTGCCTTTGTACAGTAGGTGTGTGCTACAGCTCTGAATCGGACTGATTTGGAAACTTGATCTCAAGATGTTTCTGTTATTTCCTCCGGACTCTCTTTGTCTCTGTATGTTCATAAAGTGGAGTGCAATAGCTCGGGTTTAAGCACACACTTTCTGCAGCATTTTCAACCTGTGTGGACGTGTTGTTGCTTCAGTTCACGCTGCCTTGAGTAAACTACCTTGTCTATTGAATTTGTATGCAATCACGCCGCCTCTGAAATTTGCTCCGCCTTCAGTCTGAACACACCTTAAGAGTGTACAATTCACATTTGTACATATCTTTGTATTTTTGATCTGCATGTGTGCATTGCTGCCAGTGACCCTGATTATATCATTAGTATGCATTTCATAAAATTGTACAAAGTTAAAGGGAATGCCCCGGTGTTTTTTGACTGCTGCTATAAATCCACAACAAAATATCAAATACTGTAGGAGTAAAAAAAAGTTTTGTTCCAACACATTCACATGATTAATATTTCAAATTACATTTATGGTAAGTCAGAAACAGCTGATTCTATATCATTAAACGTGTTGTGTTAATACGTATCTGATAAAAAGAGAGTCATGACTGTATGAGGCAGGGAAAGGAAAGACAGGGACACAAAAGCAGGAAGTTCACCGAGTTGACAGCTGGACAACAGACAGTGTGAGAGACTGAGGTAGAGATGCTGCCGGAGCAGGAGACTTCTCCAGACAGCTTGTCATCAGCAGAGCCGCCGGTGCGAGAGAGCACATTATACATGCACGCTGAACTCCGAGGTGTTGTTTACCTCACACCCACAACCAACCAACCAACCTCATCTGACCTCTCAAAAACAGAACTCCCTGCAGGTCCCCTGTCCTTCAAATGTCACTGCAGGAGGGTGTGTGGTGAGCGGTAAGTGTTCCTGTGTCTCTAAAACTGTGAGTTGTGGGTGTGTATGCAAGCACAAACAAGTATTTGTGAATGGATACTTCATTGCAGTTTATTTTGCAAGGTCTAAGAAGTCACATCTCAAATGTTTTGGGAATTGTCCCTGATTTGCCGTCCATCACCTGAAGACAACAACTGACAACCTGCAACACACTGTAAAAGGTCAGTTATCGAAGAAGCCTCTTGGGGCTTCTGTGCTGATTTGCTCCCAAGGCAACACACAAAGTGCCATGAGACAATAAGCTCCCTTGGCTACAGGATAATAACATCACCTGAACTGCATGAAAACCTTAAATATGCCTTTGCTTTTTAAAGCTCACATTTTTAAATGTTAAAATGGGGAACAAATGCATGGACCAATGTGATTTTTAATTAGGTTAATGCAGGCGTCTTTTCAAAGAAGGAAAAAACTCCACTCGAGATATTAGGTCAAACTTATAGCTGGAAAATCAAGAGAAATACTTACCAAAGTAAATCCTACCCAGAAGTTTTGTCAAACATAACTGATAAACAAGGTTTGTAGATGTCTCATTAATGTGTTTGTCTCTGGGCTCAAGAGGCAGTAACTGGCAGCTTCTGACAACATCCAACTTGTTTTAATGCGTTTTTGCTATTTCCTTTGGGAAGTGTGAAGCTTTTTGTTAAAAAACAAAAGTGAGTAAATTAGGAGTTGTTTTTAGTGCTCTGTCACCTAATAAGTTGGCAGTGTCTTTGATGTGTTTGGAGGTGACCTGAGTGATGTTTTAAGGCAAGGAACGACCGTAAAACAGTGATATATAAAGCTAGTATTGTTTGACATAATGTGCTCACAGGTTTTCTTGGTATTCAACCTGGAATTATTACAGAGAAATGTTGCTTCACGTTGTCGGGTGGAAAAGGGAAGTGAAATGTGTTTAATTGACTAATGCAGGTGTATGGTATTATTATTGAAAGAATCATTTTTGCCCACTGCTCTTGAAGTAACAGATTGTTTTTACTCCTGCCCATTTAAACACAACAGTCAGACAAACCTGCAGTCACACCCAGGGGCGGACTGGCCATTGGGAATACTGGGTGGGCCGGTGCTGTGTGTGGGCCGGAGGGCCTAAATCCTACCGGCCCACATTTGTAAGTGTTCCGGCCCAGCCTTACAGATGGATAAACAAGCTCCAAAGCGTAAAGGCGTTTTTGTATAGTTTGTGTATACACAGTATACAGTATTGTAGCGAGCCCTGGGTTCAGAGGGAGGGGCTTGCATAGGGGAGGGGGGGGGGGGTTGGCAGGGAAACAGGGTTCAGAGGGAGTGGCTGTACGGCTGTACCCGTAGGATAGAAAAGGGGGAAGTGACGTCGGACTCAGAGGTCGCGCGGCTGTGGAGAAGACCGTGTTGCCCACATTCTGTTACTGAGTTTAGGCTAGTTAGCTAGCAGGTTTATTGTTTTGGGTGCAGTCACTTTTGCCTCCACTTGCTGTTCAAATAAATGTTGAAAGAAAAAGTAAATCTGTTTACATTTCTGTTTTATATGGGTGTTGAAGAAGAAGAAGAATTGGGAGGGATGAAACCCTCTTTAATGGTCACACATGCAGAGCACACACAGTGAAATGTGTTCTCTGCTTTTAACCCATCCTAGTACACAGGACTACAGCAAGAGGATCAGCCTCGACTCCGGATCCCGGCGTAGATATAGATACAAAACAAGAAAAAAGATTTGGCTGGGTTAATCGGAACAAGAGAATACACAGACACAGACAGAGAGGGAAAAGGTCATTGGATAAAAGTTATTCTGGATAACCCTCTAGAAAGATCTCATGAACTTCCCCACTCAATCTATCAAGACCCGAGCAGTTCTATTAGATATAGAATAAGAAACAGAGATAGGGAGCACAACAACCTATCTCTTCGTCAGATGCACTCCCCCAGCTTGTCCCCGGACCCCCCTAGAGGAGGTGAGGCCCACACCCCCTGTTAAATTGTCTCATCCACATTAAGGATGCTTCCTACGTCCATGTTTTATTCCATGTGTCAAGTCAGGCAAATTGGGTCAAAATGTTATTGCATCAATGATCTGTTAACATTAAAATCACTAAATATATGCTGTAACTATTTTGCTCTAGGCAACTCAAGGGCTCAGGTAATGTAATTACTATATGAATAATGGTCCAAAATAACATTAAATGCATAGGGTTTTTTGTTAAGTAACATACTTTCGTCGCCGGCCGGTCGATACATGCCGTGCATTAAGTGGGCCTGTCTGTTAATTCATCCCCGGGCCACTTTTTCCCCCCAGTCCGCCCCTGGTCACACCTGAGTCTCTTCTTACATTCATCAAGGCCGTGTATAGAAACCAGCTCCTGTCAGCTGTCAGGGCTAAATGCTCAGGGAGTTGTCCAGGCCCACCGATTGTATCACGGCTCCTGGGGGAGAGTCAGATAAAGGCATGGTTGTGAAGGTGGCACAACAAAAGGATGAATAAGGTGGCACCTAAATTAACTCTCTATATAAGATTCAGAGGAAACGGCTGTCAATCTCCAGATGGCATTGAGATCCTGTCCCTTTGCCCCTTGATGTCCTAAATGATCTTTTTTGGTTGCCTGCCTTGTCAAGATGACATATTAGCCATAAATACATTCACCTGTGGACAGTTATTTAACATCATCAAGTGAAAGGTCATCCGTGACGTGCCCTTTGTTGGCTCAACCACAGGGTTTCACTAAGGGACCATTAATAAATTACCGTTGAATGACACATAGCCGATATTAAAAGAATATTTTAATGTTTTTTGTTTTTAAAATAGCTTCCATATCATGTAAAACAGTGACTTCCAATCCATAACAGACTGGAAAAATAGGACACTTCCCTTTTCCTGGGTTGTAATTCCTATTTTATTTTGTAAGGAGTATTGTTATGATCAGCAGTTTTTTATTTGAATCTATTGGATCTTTTGAATACCTTAATTTCATGTCTCCTATTGACCCAAAATCACAGGAGAATTGTATTTCCTCACTTGACAAGTACGACACACCTTTTCTTTTTTTCATTGATTTTAGTGCTTTTTCTTTTCTATGTGCAAAAAACTATGGCAAACGCACAATAAAACAGACAATGTTGTCAAAATTAGTCATCATCTAATAGTACACCACGCTACATGTTTAAAATAAGTAAAACAAAAAAAAATATCGGGTGGGAGAACCTCAGAGATGCAATAACAAAGATCAGTGTAGATGATAAAATAGTGGAATTGGAATGTGACAAAAGCCACTTAATCTGAGCATGAACTGCCCACATATTTCAGGCTGGCTGCTTCATGTCTTTGTGAAGAGCCTGCATAATGTCTCTTTTT